ACACATACGCCTGTCCCGTGATAAATACGATGTGCTGCGAGTTCGCTTGGTGGCTCTCGTTTGATGTGGTGCTTGATTTAAATTTCTAGTGTTTATATATGCGTACATATTGAAAGGATGGATCTCCAGCTACTATAAGGTGTGATTTGGATTTTATGTAAGATTTACTTGATTTCTGCTCCCCCCCTTCCCCTCTGTCCCCAGTAACAGATGCTGTTCCCTCTGACTGTCTCTGTATTTGAAACCAGCAGATTGTCAGAGAAGGGCTTCTTATGCTCTTGTATTTTCCCGCCACAGCTTTTTCAGTTAAGGGTGTGTCTTTTCCTGACACAGTTGTGTTAGAACAGGCTCTCATGTAAAACTGCTTATCGTGGCAAAAAGTCCTTTGACACCACAGCTTATCTCACTTGGGGGCTGTAGTACACTGCATCGCAAAGGAACTGCCTTTGCTGAGGAGTTGTGGGTGTGAAGACAGTCTTTATTTTTCCCTTTTTTATTGCCTGGGCAGCCTGTTGTGATTTTCAGTGTGACTTTCCAGTTTATAGAACCCTTGGCCATTGTGTGCCTTCAGCTTAAGTGTTTAGATTGCTTTTTTATTTATTGGTATCCGTATTACTGAAGCTCTTTGAGAGTTCCTCATGCCTTACTGCCAAAGGGTTGTCTGGGGAAACTCAGAAATACATTTCAATGGCTTGTGCAAAATGTTGTCAAATATACAAGTTTCTAATTAAAAAATCGATACTTTTTTTTTTTTATGACAGCCATAAAAATAAACAATTACAGTTATGTTAGAACAGTTAATTACTAGACCTTGGGGAGGGATGCCATTAAGTTGTGTATCTGTGAAAGTGAGCTATGAAACGGATATTCAGCCTTAGATATAAAATGATCACTCGATGTTAAACATTGAATTTTCTCCTAAGTCATTGCCACTACATAGCAATGAATCAGTAATAGCTTCCCAGCAGCTGCTTGAATGCCATCTTACACGTGGGTAAAGGAGTAATACAACTTTGGCAAGACACTGTGATCCCATTTTAATGTTGTCTGTGCAGACTGTTAGGGCCCAGCTTCTTTCTAGTGTAAGAAACAGTGAAGAGAAGTAATTATGTATGTGATTCATTCTGAAATAGCTTTTGGTATTCTGAAAGTTAGATGGAATTAGTGCAAATATTTAAATGCAAAATGATGACTGCAGATGTACATATATTCTTATGTAAATGAGACTGCACATACATGTGCTCAAGATGCAACATTACACTTAAATATATCCTAGAAATGGAATGCTTCGGCAGGCAGGAGCAGGCCGTTGTTCTCTGCTGGGGGTGCTAATCTCCAACCTGATGGTTTTCCCATGCTTTACTTTTAAGTAAATACACATGTAAGGCTATGCTCAACAGAATGCAGTGTAAATTCTGAGCTGCTTGAGCTGTTTGGTTTGTGGGTCTGTTTGTCTTTGCTTGAGGACTTGCCTTTGTACTGTTTCTAAGCTCCCTGATTCCTTGTGATAAGCAGAGAATGGTGAAGTTCAGACTTAGATTGGTCTGAGCGTGCTATTATTGTAAGAAGGTAAGCCGTACGTTTGGATCTGCGGACTGTCATCTTTCTTTTTAATAATATTAAGCTTAATATAGCTTAGTGGAGTTCAGGAGAGGGGTTGTGGGAAGTGGTAGTGGGCTCTCAAAGTTGAGATAATGAAATGGCAGATGGTGCAGGCTGGAGAATATGAGAAGGAGGAGAGCATAGAGGGGGTGTTAGGGATCTGAAGGTGCCAAAGGAGGAGTGGCTCGTTTCCTATATATTCACTTGCTTAAATCTATATAGGTCTAATACCTTAAAAGGTTTTCCATGTGGATAAAAGCATTATTTCTTCTCACTATACCCTATATTTATTCCTGGGCAGCAGAGAGCTGGTAATTAAAATAAATTATAGTAATAAAAATGTGTGTATGTGCTTACTTTAAAAGAAAAAAGAGGGGGAAAAAAAATCCAACCATGTCTTTTAAAGCCTAAACTGATTGGTTTAAAATTAAATCCTTTAAGCAGTGCAGAGGTGTCTGTGTGTTTATTTAGCAACTCAGTGGGTGGAAATCACTGAGCATCTAAAACTTGAGTGTCTCAAGTGCTTACATAGGTTTTGGTAGTAGTATCCTCTTCTGCTCTTCTGCTGATTGTGTTGAACTGTCTCAGTTCAGTGATTTGTTCATTCTGAAATAAGAAACCAGTTGAGTTTGAAACGTGTTTTCTAATGTAAGGTTAAAGAGGATGAGATTTGCTATTTCTGCGATCTTGAAGTAGGTATTTTTCTTCACTGCGATGAATTTGTTTAACATAATCTGCATTTCAAAATCCCTCATGTAAACTTGCCTTTTCTGTGTGCGTCTGCATCTGAGGTAGTTTTATCTAATAAATATGTGAGTAAATTCCCAATTAAATTAAAAGGAACAAGCAAGTACAGTTTAAGATGAGTTGCAAAGAAAAATCTAAAATTGTAAGAGTTGAGACAAATACTGGTATTTACTAGTTATAGCATGTAGAAGACTGATCTTAAATGAGCATGTATACAGTCTTTCCTACTGCATAGCAAAGAGTTGTAATGATAGTATCAGCAGACTTTAATGATGTTTACCTTTGCAAAACTGAAGATGGGTAATAAAATCAACTTTTAAATCGGGGCTCTCCTTACATTGTGGACCCCAAATCTAAATGAGCAGTATTGAAATTAGTCTCTTTCATCTTACTGAGACAAGGAGCTGTGTTCTTCCACTTGATTCTGTGTCTGTTCTTCCACCTCCAGAAAAAGACCCATTAGGTTTTCTTGGCTCGTTTTCGTAATAAAGTTGCTAAATGCTGTGAAGCAAGGGGTTTCAACCATGCATGTTTCATGTGTAATGTCAATACAGTTTGCTGAACTAGCAAGCCAGTCAATTAAATATTCCTAGTACAGTTCACTGAAGTACAGTTTGTGTTAGTGACATTTTGTTTAGTCATGTACAGCATGTAAAAGAATAAGAACTTTTCTGAAGAAGCTTTACTTTGATATGTCAGATGATCAGGAATCAGAGGTTTGAGTCTCGAGGTGTTGCAAGGGTGGCTTCATTGTACTGGTTGCTTGCCAGTGGAAGGCTTCAAAAAATCTAAAAAGGATTTTGGAGTGAAAGTTATAGTATTGTGCCCAGAAAACTAGGATAATGTTACACAAAAGGTTCTTGTGAGTGAAAGCACAATGTGTGTATGAGCAATACCAGCCAAACTTTCAGCCTTTCTAGTAGATACATGCAGTTGCTGATTAGAACAAACCGAAAGGAACCCTGGCCAGTGGGTTGCATTTGTGTGTGTCATTTCCAGATTCCAAGCCCCACATGCTAGTGTAGTGATGTGCATGTTGTTGAATGAACCTAAAATAAGTATCTTCGTGAGAACTCTGCCTTAGCTTGCAGAGTCAGTATTTATGAGTTAGTTTCCAGAAATATTTGCAATCTGAGCATGTTTTTGTGGGGCTGTTTCTTCTTACTAATAAACATATGCAATATCCTATTTTCTGTAATGATTTAAATTCTGATGTATACAATATTCTTTTAATTATGTCTGATTTAACTTTTTAAGGAAAAAAAGAAAAACACAAGAAAACAAACAAAATAGTCACTGCCAAAACCCCAAACCAAACCCAGTGAGTTTAAGCCTCATGTCTTGAACATCTCTGTCATTGCCCATATGAAGGTTTGAAGGGCTTCCATGCTTCTGAAAATAAAGCTGTGTAGGTAGCTTAAGGAATTGGAGGTAGTTTAAATGGGAACTCTTGTGTTTATTTATGTGGTAGCATGTATGCATTGATTTTTCCTGTATGTTAGCCTAGTTTTCTAATATTTTTGTTATGGTTTTCTTTTTTTTTTTTTTTTTCTCTTCTGAAGTATTGCTATACCTTTGCACAAACGTGGTTTCTGTGTTTGGGAAGCCAGGCTAATTTTAGATGGACGGGGCCTACAAGGATGCTGGAAAAGGGCTCTTAGTCAGGGACTGTAGCAATAGGACAAGGGGCAGTCAGTTTAAACTTAAACAGGGAAGGTTCAGGTTAGATAGAATAATTTTTTTACTGTGAGGGTGGCGAGACAGTGGAACAGGTTGTCCAAAGAAGGGGTAAATGCTCCATCCCTGGCAATGTTCAAGGCCAGGTTGGGCAGAGCCTTGGGTCAGAGCAATCCCAGCCAAAGCTACAGGTTGGGCAAAGAGATTCAGAGCAGCCCTGAGGAGAAGGACTTGGGGGTGCTGGTCAATGAGGAAATGAATGTGAGCCGGCAGTGTGCTCACAGCCCAGAAAGCCAACTGTATCCTGGGCTGCATCAAAAGGAGCGTGAGCAGCAGGTCTAAGGAGGTGATCCTGCCCCTCTACTCTGCTCTTGTGAGACCTCACTTGGAGTATTGTGTGCAGTTCTGGTGTCCTAAACATGAAAAGGGCATGGAACTGTTGGAACAAGTCCAGAGGAGGGCCATGAGGATGATCAGGGGACTGGAGCACCTCCCGCATGAAGATAGGCTTAGAAAGTTGGGGCTGTTCAGCCTGGAGAAGAGAAGGCTGCGTGGAGACCTCATAGCAGCCTTCCAGCATCTGAAGGGGACCTACAAGGATGCTGGGGAGGGACTCTTCATTAGGGACTGTAGTGATAGAGCAAGGGGAAAACTTAAACAAGGGGAAGTTTAGATTGGATATAAGGAATAAGTTCTTTACTGTACGGGTAGTGAGGCACTGGAATGGGTTGCCCAGGGAAGTTGTGAATGCTCCATCCCTGGTGGTGTTCAAGGCCAGGTTGGACAGAGCCTTGGATGACATGGTTTAGTGTGAGGTGTCCCTGCCCATGGCAGGAGGATTGGAAGTAGATGATCTAAAGGTCCTTTCCAACTGTCACTATTCTGTGAACTGTTATTCTGAAACAAGAAACACAAGTTCTTAATGATTTCCTTGCTTGATTTATTTATTCCTCCTCTCTACCCCCTCTTCATAGGTTCCTTGAAACTGTGCTATGAATGGTGATTCTGGAGTGGGGGTGGTGACTTCACCACCCCCAACAACAGCTCCTCATAAGGAGAGGTATTTTGATCGAGTTGATGAAAATAATCCAGAATATTTGAGAGAGAGGAATATGGCACCTGACCTTCGCCAGGATTTTAACATGATGGAACAGAAGAAGAGAGTCTCCATGATTCTTCAAAGCCCAGTAAGAAAACAATGCTCCGTCTTCAAAGTTACAAATTTATTAATTGTATTTGTAATGTCCCCATGGAATTGGAGAATTTTGTGGTATTTTAGGTCCATTTTTCTGCTTGGCCTTTCTTCTAGAGTATCCTAATTGTCGGCTAATTTTTCCTCACGTTATCTGGTTGAATTTTTTCTTTCTTTTCTGTTTCTACTTTTCCTTTCATGTTTTATGTTCAAGTCAATCGTACATCCTGCTCCTTCTTCCAGAAATCTGTATTAGTAGGTTCAATGAGTTTTGGTGTTACCTGAAGAGGAATTATGGAATTTCCATTCACAAACAAAATAGGTGACTCATGTCACTGGAGCTCCAGAAAGCAGCATTTCCAAGTAACAGTGTGTACCCAGTACTTCTGCCCTGAGCTGTTTTTCAGAAGAGATGTAGGATGTTTCTACCTAAGTGCTGAAGAGAAGCTGCGTATGAAAGGTTGAAGTTATTTGAATTGCTTTATAACATGTAGTGTACTCTTGCTAGGCTTTTTGTGAAGAGCTGGAATCTATGATCCAGGAGCAGTTTAAGAAGGGGAAGAACCCAACAGGTTTACTGGCTTTACAGCAGATTGCAGATTTCATGACAACGCATGTACCGAATGTCTACCCTGCAGCACCACAAGGCGGAATGGCTGCTTTAAACATGAGTGAGTGCACCTTAATTTGGAATAGTTCAATTCTTTTTTGTTTGAAAGGTTTAAAATGAAGACTGTGAATGAAAAGTGCTGTGAAGTTCAAACCCCATCCTGTTCTGCTTACAAGAACATTGCAAACGTGAAATGAGTTGATTAGTTTCTAAATGCCACAGTGTTGTGTAGTGTGATTCATGTGTATAATTTATATCAAAAGCTATTTCAAGTATGTTATCTTAATTGAAAAGTAAGCCTGGTAAGTCAGCACTAATAAAAAAACCTCAAGATTTAAATATATTGCTAATATTTACCACATAGATTGTCTGCAGGAAAATAAAATGCTTATTAGTAGTCTAGTAATAGTGAAAGTCTTTAGAAACTAATTATTTTTGCCATTGAAGTGCTGTTTGCAGCTTTCTCCTGTGAAGTGAGGCTGTAGACAAGAAACATCAGCAAGCAAAACAAAGAAAGAAAACAAAACCCAGAATGTGTGAATGCATGTACACACAGGTTTTGTGTTAAGATAATACAAACCCTTTCTGTGCTCCAAAATAAACCTGTTCAGACTGTAACATGGCCTGGTTCTGCTTTATCACAGTTACTTTTAACCACACTTCTGATTGCACTGTAACTAGAACTATGGTATTTTTAATTATTTACCATAATCCACCTCTCGCTATCTTGTACTTAATTGTGCCTAATTAAATGAATCTGTGTATATCTTTTTAGATGTATAATTCTCCTGTTCAGGAATACTAAATCATGTATCTCAAAGTGGAATATCTGGGGTTACATTTTTCTGTTAACAGTAAAGTTGGATTTAGCAGACAATAGTTAGCTTTAAAGAGAAAAGAAATACTTTGCTAAGGAATGTACTATTACCTTAGCGCTAATTAATACTAAGGAAGGAAACAAATGCCAAGTCTGCCAGAGATAAATGACCTTGTCATTATGTAATAGAAATTGACATTATAGTAGTTAAAGTTTGCTATCCATTTCTTAGCTTAATATGTTGATATAATCTAGTAAGAACAACCACTGTAATAGTGGTGCATGGTTTTAGGTTTTAACTGATGTTGAATGCAACCTCTCCTTGTGCTTCTTTTTTACCCCTTCTCCTTTTCAGGTCTTGGCATGGTGACACCAGTGAATGATCTGAGAGGATCAGATTCCATTGCCTATGAAAAAGGGGAGAAGTTGTTACGATGTAAATTGGCAGCTTTCTACAGATTAGCAGATCTCTTTGGCTGGTCTCAGCTTATTTACAATCATATAACAGTGAGTATTGAATCGACAAATAACTGAACCAATTGTTTTAACCTACAAGAGAATTACTTCCCTCCCCCAGCTGTCATTCTGTCTTTGTGTGGAAGAGAAGCAAAGTGGTATTGAAAGCAGTATAATAGTGTAGAGATTTGTCATTGCATCTTAGGAATAAGAACTGGAACATCTTGGATGTCAGTTACCATAGCCTGAATAGAGTCTTAAGAGAGTGTACATGAAAGTTCTTATGATGAAAGTCCTGAAAGACTCAGTCTTTTAGTATCTTAAATGCTTTGAATAATTTTATGTATAATTCTTCAAGGTCGTGTCTTAGTTTTCTTGCTAAGTACTAAAATACCTTCTTAGTCATTCGGTTGAATTTTATAATTCAAGGTACCAACCTTTTTGAAAAAGAAGCCATAGTATTTCTGAACATGAGTGAACTACTTAGCTTAATGCATTGTGCCAACAATTTTCCTTGTGACTGAGTAATTGCTGGCATCCATAAAAATAATGACAGGGAGGTCAAATCAAGGAGGTTTTATATGCCAGAAGAATGATCAACATGAGTCCCATGAGTAGAGTCCCGTGAGTAAAGTCCCAGCTGTGGTGTGCAAACCAGTCAATTGTTTTCCTAACAGAGCTGAATTGTATTTTTCTACATAGTGGAGATTGTTCTTTATGTATTTTCAGTTCTTCTAGTTGCAGTGTGACTGAAATATGCTAATTTTGTTATTACTGCTTTTTGAGATTTCAAGGTATATTATTTTTGAAGTGGTGAAGCTGATAAATGGTATGGATAGGCTTAGGGTCAAAGCAGATTGTTAGGTTTCTTCAGTAAGAGAACATATCCAGTATAATGGTTCTTGTGAACAACTCTGTGACACCCCCTGATTTTGCGTATGTGGCAGGAGAATTGATTTTGTAAAAGGGGTACTAATGCAGTATAAAGGTTATGGAGCAAGCGGGTGTGAAGATGGCTCTCAGTATGAAGTTCAGCCTTAGGGGTGTTTATGCATTTAGATAAAAAGGCAACTAATGAAAAGCAGCATGCCTGAGGAAGTGGTTACATAAGGGGCATGTGATTGGGATGGAATGCCTCAAGTTTGCTTTCTTTTGGTCTTTCTTCCATATACCCATACATTAATTAGTAATGTAGTAGTAAGGCACTCTTTTGGAATGTGGTGAATGCCTACCACTTCATGCAGAGCAGGAGTCTGACACAAGGTTTTCAGTTTTTTGTGAGTGGGTGCTCTTAATTGCCAGGTGGTTGCGTTCAAGTTAAAAGCTGCCAGTGCACTCTTTATGTTAGAGAAAAATTACAACAGCTTTCTGTAAGGGTCACAAGTCTCTGTGTTAGAGGAGAAAGGAATTGTAAGGATATGAGAGCTATGCCAGTCTGGGCATATCAGGAGAGTTGGACAGAGTAGCTTCTTTTCTGGATCTCTGTCAATCACAGCTGCTGTGTGTGGAATTGTTCAAACTGGTGCAGTCCTGATGCAGAAGCAGAATTGCAGAGCATCAAGAGCTTTCATGTCAAGCACAATAATGTGTAGAGTAAACTTGGGTGCCTCCAGGGTTAGGCAGAATTTGAGATTACAGTTTACATAAGGCACACATCATTCACCAAGTCTTGGTTTGCTTGAGGGCATGAGCTGTTTATTGGATCTAATCCTAAAGCAAGGTGGTTTGTGAGTCTTGCTGCTTGTTTATCTTGCATTTGAGCTTTCCTGTTAACATTTGGGGTATTTTGAGTAATACTTCTTTGTCTTGCATAACTAAGTAAAATATTTTCTGGATCATTTACACTTGCACAGTGGAGAACTACTTTGGTGATCCATGAAAATACGGGTTAACTTTAACTGACTGGTTCAGTTTAAGGCTCTTATGCTATATCATGTTACTAGCTGGTTGTAAAGGAAGCTAGATTTGTACTAGAAGCTTTTGGATGACTTCTTTTGATCAACTTCTTTAGAAATTTTCTTCCTGCAGCAGAAGTATATCAAAATGTGTATGTATTTTATGTTGCAAATAGTAGAAGACATGAGGGAGCATAAAGTAGCTGCATCGGGGGGGAATGAAAAACTCAAATATAATTATAAAAATACTAAAAAAAAAACAACAAACCCCAAACACAAACCCTAGGTAGATTCATAGCAAAATAGGGAGCTCTCTGACATGTGCCATAAAACATTTGAAGCCTTTCAATTCTCCACTGAGAGGCACCTAAACTGGCCTGTACTTTTCATTGTACAGATTGTACACAGATGCATCCTAAGATGTGAATGGTGTGAAGTCAGAATTCTTCTTGTAGTATAAACTCCTGATTGTGTGAATTAAAAGAGCAAAAACGTAAGTGAAGGTCAGGATACGTGATAGAGAGCCAACAAATGTGCTGTACTGCTCACAGTATTATCAGTTAATAGCATACATGAAAGTCACATTGCATATGTTATAGATGTACTTACCCATTCCATGCTCAGGAAGTGAAGGTAACTTGCATGGTTTTGGCCCTTCTTGTATGCTTTAATAAGATACTTTTAGCAACTTTTACTCTTGTTTTATCATTAGGCCAGAGTAAATTCTGAGCAGGAGCACTTCCTCATTGTACCTTTTGGACTCCTTTACAGTGAAGTTACTGCATCCAGTCTGGTAAGCAGTTGCTATTTTTCATAGCTTTGAAATATGAATGACTGAATCTGCTCTCTGTATCTGTCACTGTTGAAATGTTATCTTAGAGAATGTTTTACTCTGTGTTACGTGTTTAGAATAGTTTTATTGAACATGACTGATTCTGGTACAGCTGAGGTCGCTACTTGCACATGTTCACCACCAGGTGTTCTCCAGTTGATGTAGCTGTAAAGAGGAGCCAGGTCATTTGGACTGCTAATCAATCACATCATGCCCTTGAAAGCTGCTGGCTGTTAAAATCAGGCTTGTCAAGGGAAGCAGTGTATGTTTCAGACATAAATGCAAATCAGTTACAATTTCAAGATACTGTGTCAGATGCCTAATTTAGTTACCATCATTTAATGATGTAGCTGAGGGTGTAGGTAAATCATATTTTTTAAATCTAATGATGGCAGTTGAAGACACAGCTCCCTTAACTATTAGCTAGTGGGAGGCATTTTGTGAGTGTTTATCTTCAGTGTAGTCTCCAGTGCTGCTGAAGGCAACTTGAGTTAATGCAATTGACTCTCTTGCACTGAAATGAAACAGGAACTTTTGCACTGTTCTTTCTACCTGGCTACTTTCAGGAAAGTAACGTCTAGCAGAGGGGTCAGGTAAGTGCACGCAGAGTAGTAACATTTTGGACTTGACACCTTAAGGTTCCAGTACTCCCCCTCAGCTATCTGTAAAGTTGGCTCTTTCTTGCATAACTCCACCTTAAACATCTGTAAAATCTTAATTGAAAAAGCTGTAAGCAAAGGAACGGAGAAAACTGAGACCTGCCCTACTACAAAATTTCTAGAAGAGGGTCATGCTGTAGGAGTGTTCTGTGTGTTTTGTCTGGGGGTTTGTGTTTTGTTTTGGTGGGGTTTTTTAAAGGTGTTCTGCTTGCATCTCTCTATCAAGAAATGTAAGTACCTTGAGAATTAAGATTGTGTGAAGATAGTGAAATGCACACACACATACACTACTTACACAGTAGAGAGCATGTTCAACACAGACAACAGCAGCAGGATTTAATAAGAGTGATAAGGCATATGACTTAGCCAGTTGAGCATGCTAACCGGCAGCCTGCTTACATGGCTGTCCCTTTATCACCTCTTTCTCTTAATTTCTGTACTTGTTCTCCCCTTCTTCCCTTCTCCACTCTGAAACTCCATTTTCTCTGATCATGTTCAAAGTCCTGTTATTCCTCTTCAGGTGTCTGCAAAGTTTGCAAGTTTCTCATAAAACTTCACCATAACTCTCTGAAATGCAGCCATTTGTCACAGTGCTGTGTGTAAACTGTCCGCTTCTTGCACCATTGCCTGCTACAGGCAGTGATTCCTTGTGTCATATGCAGTAATTTCTCATGTCCTCTTCAGGCAGCTTGATCTCAAGCTGGGGCCCTGGTCACCTGCCTACAGCCTTATCGTGCACATTTTGACACTTGCTAAAATAAAATACTAAAGGAAAGAAAGGTTTAGAGCTTCAGTGGTAGATGCTGAATTAAATCACTTTGACAGTCATGATTCGTTGATGAAACTAACTTTTCATTCCCAGGTTAAAATCAACATTCAGGGAGATGTAGTTGATCGTGGAAGCACTAACTTGGGAGTAAACCAGGCTGGGTTTACTTTGCACTCTGCAATTTACGCAGCTCGACCCGATGTTAAATGCATCGTTCACATTCATACGCCAGCAGGGGCAGCGGTAAGCACACTTCTGACTTTGTCCTGTTTACCCCCCACCCCTTCCAGCTGGAAAACAGGTTGGTCCCCCTTAATCATAGATTTGTTTCCTTTTTGAAGGGCACAAAGCCTTTAAGTCTGCCTTCAAGGATGTGGTTCTGTTTGAATCAATGAGATCCTCCTTATTTGTTGTTAAATGAGTGGTCAGACAGTAAAGTGCTGTAATTGGAAAATATGTATTTCATATGTATGTGTCCTTTACCACAAAAGACCATATCCTTTGACAGTGAGTTGTAAGATCTTTAGCATGTTTTTTAAAGCACAATTTATCAAGGTTTTCTTAAATATTTGAAGCTTTTAAAATACCTCTCAGTAGAGGAACTAGCTACAAGTCAGTTTTACTTCTGGAATTTTTTGAGAGTCATCTGATGACACTGTTTCAAAGGTCACATTCTGGGGCAACCATTTTAAGGATAAATGATCAGATTATTAAAATTGTGAATAACAGTCTTAAAATGGTCCTTAACTTTACCCTCAATGCTGTGGAATTCCTTGTGTCAAAGTTCTTAACTGAATTTCTTCTTCTGGGAAGGGATGTCGCTGAGTGGAGTGAAAGGAATGGAGGATGAAGTTCATTTTGGTTGAGGTTTTTTTGTGGGTTGATTTAGGGTTTTTCCCTGAGTCTTTCCATCTAGGTGTCATCATGTAAAAGCAGCCATACTGAGTCTGACCCAGGGTCAATGTGACTTCCCTATCCAATCCAAAAGTTGTGAAAAATAGAGCCTTTAGGGGTGGAGTATAAGACCACTATGTATGTGGCTGTACAGACACCTATGTATAATATATAAAACCCTATTTTTAATAGAATTCTTATCATAATTTTTTTCTGTTGCAAGAGATTAAGTTAGTTGTTTTCATGTTTCTCAGGTATCTGCAATGAAGTGTGGTCTCTTGCCAATTTCACCTGAAGCACTTTCTCTAGGGGAAGTAGCTTATCATGACTACCATGGTATTTTAGTGGATGATGAAGAAAAGGTGGTGATTCAGAAAAATTTGGGGCCTAAAAGCAAGGTCAGTATTTACATCTGGAATTAAAGAGAAGTATGTTGGGAGGGGAGATTGTTCTTTCATCAAGAGCAAGGAAGTACTTGCCTTACTGCTCTTAACTTTCTTTGCAATGTCTCTCTAGGTCCTTATTCTCAGAAACCATGGCTTAGTATCAGTTGGAGAGACTGTTGAGGAGGCTTTCTACTATATTCATAATCTAGTGCTTGCCTGTGAGATTCAAGTAAGAATTTTAATATTTCTATAATAATACAGTCTGCTGTATTCACCTTCAGATAGACAAATAGTTGCACTCTTTACCTGGTTAAATTCTTGATCTAAACGAATATGGGGATTTGTAAAACCATTTTATTATGCAAGGACATCCAAAATACTGATTAAACCAGTAACTTTCAAATGCTGTATTGGAAGCATTGATTTGGTATATACTGCCTGTTAAAATGTTTTTGCCTTAAGACATTTTCAAGTTTTATACAAGTGTGTTAATTTATTTAGCTTAAAAATGAAATATATTTATTCTGGCTTTTCTGATGTCAGTTTGGGAGGGATTTTGGTTCTTTTCTCCCCTCAAGAAACCTAAAGCTGACTTTATTGTTTCTAAGGTACGTACCCTGGCCAGTGCAGGTGGACCTGACAATTTAGTGCTTCTAGATCCTGGAAAGTATAAAGCCAAGTCTCGTTCCCCTGAGTCTCCAGCAGGTGAGGGTACTATATCCCATCCAAAATGGCAGATTGGCGAACAGGAGTTTGAAGCGCTTATGCGAATGCTTGATAATCTGGTAAGGCATTTTGGTTTTTTTTCATATGATAATGTTTAAAATATTTTAAAAGCAACAGTAAGGGATATTGGTAAAAAATGGGCTGCCTATAGTTGAGACAGAATGGGCTGCAGGCTGTATAAACTTTCCCCAAAATTAAGAGCCCTCAGAGGAGGAGACAACATGAAAAGCATCACAGAATGCTTCAGATGTCCTTTGTGCAGATAGCAGATTTACTTTTGTATTCATAATCTGGTAGTTATCAATAAGATCAGATGGGATCCTTGTGTGACTTGGCACTTACAAATCAGAGTATTGTGGTGCTTGCTACTCCTTAGTCTGTTTTCTCCCCGCTGTTTCCATCTCCTCCGCAAAATGTGTAAAACAGTGTTAATGTTTCCTCAGGTGCAGGGTCCAGCATGATTTGACTTTGTAAGACTCTGCTAGAACCTAGAAGAGCTCAAAAGACAGACTTCAAATAATTAATGTGTTGGATAGTTAACTACATTAGCTGGTAGATAATTACTCAAGATGCACTTTGACAATTAAAAGATAGAGCAGCAACCAAGATAATGCCTCAAGAAGTGCTTTAATGCATGGAAACTCCGCAAAGAAAACAGTAGTCCACGTACTCAGGGATGAAGTTTCTTTACAACTAGCTTTATTTATAAAGAATTAGAGTGCTTTGGGAGGTAGGTTATTCACACTGTTTTTCTTTGGGCCATGTTGAAAATAGTTTTCTAGTGGAAAAATCTTAGAGAAACTGTTAAATGTTCTTTTTGTATCTTAAATGCTGAGCAAAATGTGGAAGAAGGCGGGGGAAAACATGGCTAGTTTATTAGGGAACGTATAATTCAAAGCAAAATAGAATTCAGAGGAAGTAAGAGAGAAAAACAACATATGTAGAGAAGATGAGGGAGGGGAGACAATATGGACATAAAAGTAGCATATTTGAAGCCTTTATATACAATCTGTCAAATTCTAGATATTTGAGCACAGATGAGATGTCTTTATCTGCCCTACATTTTGTATCATACAGGTGCTTTTTTGTGTTACTGATTTAGAATTGTGAGAAACAAGCAATACATTTGATTGCAGTAAAACCAAAAAAAGTGTAAATGAGTAGCTAGAACATGGTACAAAGAAAGTGGATTTAAATCCAGCTCTGGAGACTTGAATAATTACTTGAGAAGTCAATGAAAAATACCAGGAAACACCGGTGTGCTTCCCCCCCTCCCAAAACTAGCTTCTGAAGAAGTATATACATAGGCAATTACCACAAAGTACATGTACTCCAAATTCAAATTTGGCTTGCCTTCCTGCTGTCTAATCATATGCTATTGTCCATAGGAAGAACTGTCAAAAAGAGGGGCAGGACTGATCATTTAACCAATAAAATGAACACTTTCGTGGAGGTAGTTATGACAAGTGGTCTTCATTGTTTGGGTGTTAGAGTAAAATCTTCCCTGAAGTATAGCTTACAAAACTTTAGTTCAGAAATGTCCTGGGAAAAGAGTTCTGCAGTGCCTAAATTTATGATTATGCTTTCTGTGCTGATGAGATAGAGCACTAAATTAGATTCTCCAGTAACTTGCTGGGGATAGTGAATTGATTAAATGCAGGGTGGGAAGAATTACTTGTTAATTATATAACAGCTATTTGAATATGTACTTTCATCCTGAAGGGAACTGGAATTTTTATGCATCAGGCCCCCATTTTAAAACCCAGGCATTAAGGGGAAGGTAGTTTGATGAGCAGTTATAGGTATCGTATTGTTTCTCTCTTTTTAATCTGTCAAACAGATAATTACACAAGTGGTAATTCTTTTGCCTGAATATGAGAAGAGGCAGCCTCACAGCATTGCTCTTGATGAGATTCTCAAAGACCTCAGTGGCTTTTTCAGGACTACTGTAAATTCTTCATAAAAGTTTGATGCAAAGTTTTTGAAGTTGGGTTTACCAAATATGGTGACTCATTTAAATTAGTGGTTGAGAAGTTCATTAGATTGGAAAGGATGCTAATGCAGCCTCATCATCCACCTTCGATCTGGCTTTATCTGCTGTAACTGGTGAACAGGAGGTAAAGACAAGGCTTTTGTAGAATGGTTTTCACGATTAAGAATATCAATTGAATGAAAATTCAGTTGTCTTTTGAGAAACTTGGAGATGTAGAAAACTAATTCTGCTGGTCTATTTCTTCAGGGTTACAGAACTGGCTATCCATACCGATGCCCTGCTCTGAGAGAGAAGTCTAAAAAGTACAGCGATGTCGAGATACCAGCTAGTGTCACAGGTTACTCCTTTACTAGTGATGGCGAGTCAGGCATTTGCTCCCCCCTCAGACACAGTTTTCAGAAACAACAGCGAGAGAAGACAAGGTGGCTGAACTCTGGCCGAGGGGATGATGCTTCTGAAGAAGGGCAGAATGGCAGCAGTCCCAAGTCGAAGACTAAGGTGTGGACGAACATTACACACGATCACGTGAAACCCTTGCTGCAGTCTCTCTCGTCCGGTGTCTGCGTGCCAAGCTGTATTACCAACTGCTTGGTCTGTGCCTACCTTACTGTTCATAGTTAGATGATGTAGAGCAACTTGGGGTGGCTGGCACTCAGAGGCTTTGGGAAGAAAAAGATCACTCTCCTAATTCTTTTCTCCTTTCTATAAAAAACCTAAATGTGTTTTACTAACCACTTCATTTGGCTTTGATTAGATCTGAGCTGTAAAAATAGTCTCGCTTGTTAATGCTTAAAACTGCTTAAGACTTTGGAGCCTCTAGTTTTTCCTGCTAATGACCACATTGAATCATAGTTTTGACTGAATGGGTTCTGCATTTAAATAATATAACTAAGGACAACTGTTAGGGAACTACTAATTCTGTCTGCATGAAAGCTTTTCAGTTAAAACAAAAATGAAACTAACTATTCAACGTACTCCTGTACAAGTATATATAAAATAAATCAAATGTCTGCCTCTGTTGCATATACCAACTTAACTTGTGAGCCATTTGCAGCCCTCTATGTATGAGAGTAGAATTGGCGTCGAAGTATTTTAGTGTTGTTTTTCTGCTTAAGCAGTTTTTCTTCCCTAGTTTCTCAGCTCCTCTTCCTGTCCTGTTTACTATTCTTTTGTCTACCCTAAAGCCTCTGAGTGTTCACAACCAGCTGCCTTCTGCATGTAGTGTTGCATGTAAGTAGATGGCCATAAATGGAAAGTCTTTCCTAAAGTACCAGCTGGGTGCGGCATGACTAAAGTGCAGCTCAGGCCATCAGCAGGCACTAAGCGATAGATTCTGCAACCGGTGCTTTTCTTTTTGTTTATCAATGCTGCTTTACAGTTAAATTTTGCACTGAGGGATATGCTAATTGACAAGCAAAAGTATCAAATGTTTTCAAATGGACATCAATAGCTGTTGATGTGTAACTGTGGTTTTGATATTTTCTTGGACGTATACGGAGCATCTAAACGGTAGGCAGGTATGTGCACGCATACAAGCTTTTGTAGCAATTGACTTCAAGCTGAACTATAGTAGTTCAGCGTTGGTACTATGTATAGTAATAGTATGGTTACAGATGAGTCTTAAAAAAAGTAAAACTAGTACTCTTGAAAAGAAAAATATATTTTTCCCAGAACACCTCTTATTTACCCCTGCAAATCTCAGAATACACTCAGAGTTCTTTATATTTGGAATACTTCTACAGGATGATTACTCAGGCAATGTGTGTACTAAAATATATAGTGTTGACATGTAGAAAATCCTAAGAAAACAGAGGATCTCTGTCTCTGTGGTATTTTTATGGTGTTCTTTTTGGTTTGAGAAATTAATATATACATATATTGTTTGTACGGTTGACATTTTACTAAACTATAGTTTTGCCTTCAAGCTTAAAGCTATGCATATGTTTGGAGCAGTTTGTGCTTTTCAACCATGGCTCACTAAGTAGGTAGTATTTTATATCTGAAATTATCAGTCAAAGATTGAAGCAAAATTCCTGCTCAGAAACTAGTCTTGTTTAATGATATTCTGAAGCAATAGGAAATTTCATACAGTGTAACAGGTTTGTGTACTTAAACTTTTTAATGCTTGTTATTAACCTGAAGAAAAAGTAGCTTGTTGATGTTGAGGTTGTTTCTCTTATCTGTTTTGACTAAAAACTATCTTTAATAAAAAGCTGGAGTAGTTTTTATCTGAGAAGATAATCATCAGTGAGTATTTCACAGCTCCATGTTCATTCCATTTTTTACTTTACAGTTGCAAAACATTTTAAAATTCTGTTGCTTTTTGAAGTTTGACAGTTTCTGGCTATCTTATTGTTTCTTGAAGTTACTCAGGAAAAACTGCATAGCATTTGCTCTATAAACAGGTTTGCTTTACTGTTCGGTGCATTTTCTATGCAATAGTAATGGGAAATTAGGACACTGCATATAATGAACATATCCAGGTAAAGAGTTAGCTGTGCATTGAATTAAACAGAGTTCCGTACTAAATGCACTGATCAAATAAAGCAACCTTCTATGAAGAACCCATGAAGCGCTTGAAGTTTGTGTTTGGGATATTTTTGTAACCCTTTGAGCTATGAGTTATAAAATATTCGACATCACCAAACTGTTCCTTTAGGTTGCTGTGCTGATACAGCTATTTATCTGTGCAGAAACTAATGCTGGAAACAGAACATTTTGCTGAAGTAGCTTGTTTTAATGCAAAACTTTGGTGATGCCCACTCTTGCTTCACAGTACAGAATCATTCACTAAAACCTGGTTAGTGACATCACATTGCTTTTCATACTTCTGTCATCTTATGCTTTAAGTTCGCTTTGATGTTTGTTGAGTATCAGAGGATTGAATCAATGATCTCTCTGTCCCTCTTGTGCTATTTTGTAAAAACACCCAGTGCAGAAAATGAAAATGGCAGTAAAAGGTTTTTAGAAGTTGTGCCTTAGATGTTGCTGAATTTCTCTTTGGGTAAGGAGTAGTGTCCTTTTTCAAACAAATATGAACTCATTGTGAAATTCCTGATAAAAATGTCCTTAAAAATTATAAGTAATAATATTGGAGTTTTCCTGCTCCTATATTGATAAGTCTCTTTGTAAAGTGAGAAGTAGACAGTTTTCAGAAACAGAGAACACTGCAATTGTCAGTGTGGTAAAGTGCACAGAAAAACAGCTCAAAAACCTTTCAGTCTCCATAACCTCTGAATTGCACATAGCTGCAGTAATTGGATCATTTTGGGTGGAAGTTATTTGCAAGTTAACTGCCTCTCTAGTTCTTGTTACTGGCTTGACTTAGTAGAATAATTCTGATAATCAGAAATGTGTCTGAAGGTACAGTTTCTACCACTGAAGAAGTAGTTTTGGGAGTGAATAGAAGAATTCAATCATTGGTTCAGTTCTCTGCTATGTATAATGCATGATCAACTTGTTCTGTGAATTTGCTGCTCTGAGTGTCTGTAGCCATTACAGCAATTCTGACTGTTCAACTGTTCTTGATGTTACAGTGGACTAAAGAGGATGGACATAGAACTGCCACCTCTGCTGTCCCCAACCTGTTTGTTCCATTGAACACCAATCCAAAGGAGGTCCAAGAAATGAGGAACAAGGTTTGTAATAATGAAATAACTTTTTTTTTCTGTCATCACTAAAATCAAGCTGTGTACTTGTAATGAACTAACTCACTTTGCTTTAGTGAAATTTTGGGGCTCAGTAAAACAGCTCTGACGTTGTCCTGCCTCTTTATAAGGAAACAGTTCCTAAATGTTTTGAAATAATCTTGGAAAAAGATGATACTACTGTCCACTTTATGAAGACTTCCACTGTCTTATGTTTTGTTACTGCCAGACCAGTTGCTGGATACCTCTGAAGCAGCCTGTTCCCTGACATCATAGTTAACATTAGTGACCCTTTTTACTGTTCTCATTTCACCAGTTGAAATTGTGGCCTTGACAAAGAAGTCTATGGATATTTCTCCATATTATATTTTGTTACATTGTAATATTGCTGCAGAAAATTTGGGGCCTTTGGAACTGTGTGTTAATCTTCTTGAAATCAGCTAGCAGTTAATTTTCCAGTTTTTTAATTTCAGGTCTTCTTGTCACCAGCCTACCAACAGGAAAGCATTGAATCTATTGGGTGTTTTAAGCTTTATTTCTTTTTAAGTATAAAATATGCACTGGCATCTTGTTAATACTGAACTTGTTCTGGATCATTTTTCTGCTTCTAACTGATGGCCATATGGAACATGGGAGTTAGCATTATGTCACAGGAAATTCTGTACAAGGGTACCAACAGGAATACTGATTTATTCTAAAATATTTTCTATAAGGTTGACAGAGCTTTTGCTTTTCCTGTTTTGGCACTGTAAAATAATAATTGAAATGAGAAATCAAGTGAAATTGCCAAACAACAGCTTCTTGGTGTTGGAAACACAAACTGTTTTATTAAAACCTTGAATGAAGTGACTGAGAGAAGTAAAACTTTTTACTTCCCTGATGACAAAAGGAGTATTAAACTAGAAACACGTACAGATAATGCAGGATCTTCATACTTTCTGAAATACCAAGTATTAATAATACCTTGTGTTTTCATACTTGCGTGCATGTATTTCTGTATTAATTGAACGTCCTTTTTAGTTGTGAAGTAGAGGTCTTTCCAGTTGCATGCTTTTCTTCATTTATCTGGGAACCAGAATATTTTAGAAATCAACTTTGAGTCAGCTGTTATGAATTCTTTATCACTGTAGGATATCTAATTTCAACAGATAATACCTAGATTTAAAGATCTAGTTTCTGTTCCCATTTTCTGTATGGAAAGAACTGGGAGGTATCCAGGGTGCAACAAAAGCGATGTGTTTGATTACTCCAGAGTTTCAGTTTATGCATTGAAAAGTATTTATATGCCCTTTTATGACTATGGTCTTGACTAGATGCAAAAGTTGAATGTTGTGCAGTGTTTTACAATAAGTTTTACAGGAAGATGATATTCTGGTGCAGTATCAGTGACTAGTGGCTAGTGACAGAAACCTGTAAATGACTGGTCAGGTACAATAAACTTGTATAAATGTGGCCTCTGCACTTCTCAGTTTTCTTCATAAACTGTTACCTGATCTGTAGAGTTTTACTGTGAGACAGTGCTAAAAAGCAAAGGACAATACCTGCTGTGGTACTTAAAGACTAAATTCTGGTGAATGTGAGGAAGCAACTAGGAACTGAAGCACGTGCCTTCAAGTACTTACATACACAGCTTTATTTGCTGGATGGGGCTATAGCAGTCAACACTAGTTGCAGTGTCTTGCCAGGTCCACCCACCAGAGATGTGGTTAACTTTTCTCTGTTGTTCACGTGACTCTATTCTGCTGTTTTCCTTTACAGATCCGAGAGCAAAACTTACAAGATATCAAAACTGCAGGCCCTCAGTCCCAGGTTCTTTCTGGGGTAGTTGTGGACAGAAGTCTTGTACAGGTGAGAGTATAAAATGCCTAAAACTGTTAGCTTAAAGTTAATCCATGGTGTCCTCTGCTTTCACCTAATATATCACTATGAAATTATTCTTTAATTGGCAGAGAGTTTCTGTTTTTAAGGTAAGTCTTAGAGGTAACACCATTGTCTGCGAGAGTGCTCAGGGTGAGAAATTTAAAAGGCTTCAGCCATGTAGTCCAAGCATGCCTGTGGAGGATGCTTCTTGGGTTTTTTTTTGCTGAATGTAATGCATGAAATTCAGAAAGCTTATTTCTATGGATTAGATTCTTGTTCAAACTTGTTGGGCTCTGTGACAACTTTCTGTTTGTTTGTTTTCTGAGTTTATGTATCTCGAAGTACTAAGAATACTGGGCACAGCAGGATCACTATGGGGCAGTAGTGTTGTGTGTTAAGTATGTTTTATCATGCTTCATAATATTTTATTTGAAAAGCAGTTTGGAAAGAGCTATTATACATCAATAAAACTTAAAAACAATGTATCTGGATATACAATATACAAATTGTAGCTCAAAGTAAAGTAAGAATTAGAGCTATACAGTTATACCGTATGGCTGAACGACTTTAAAGCTCTATATATCTGAATGCTTTAACTGCTTCAGATAAGTATTTTCTGATACACTTTAAAAAGTTTGGCAAGTCTCATCATGGCCATAGCATTATTCATGTTGGGTGTCATATTGTGTGCATGTCAATCCATTGTCACTTGCAATTTCATCTGCCAGTTACTGTTTCTTTGCATGTTTTTAGCAAGCATCATAATGGTTTTGGTTGATGTTTTAAAGCCTGGGCTCGGTTTGCTCTGTTTACTCGATTTACTGTTGCAGGATGCTCCCCTCTCAGACTGTACGGAATCTATTGAAGGGCTCGATCTCACAGAGCAGGCCTTTAGCCCCGCTAAATCTCTGTCTGTTAGAAAGGTACTGCCCTGTCATACTGCTCTAAATACTGTTGTTCACCCTTCATTTTACCTCTTCCTTACCCTGACCTTTCCCCTATTAGTTAATGATTTGGCTAGAAAAGAAACAAAAATAGTAGATGGATCTCCAGATTCTGTATATGCAACTATACCAGCAGGTACTTTATCCTGTTAAAGTATCTTTTAAGGATTTTGATCTTTTTCTTTCTCTGTGGAAGCTGGTAAGGAAACAATGTTGAGGTGCTGATTAGGTTTTACATATAGTGGGTGTCATTGCTTGTGCTGTTAGTGTTGAATTACTCTAACCTGAGATCAATTTTGAGTTAATCTCAGCCTGATTACATCAGTGTCATTCCAAAGATACCACGTGTTCAGAGAGTGCCATGCTGACAAATGCTGTCAGCTTTTGATCCTGCATTGCTAGACATCTTGTTTCCTTAAAACTTCCTGCTGTTACCTACAGTATTGCTGAGGAATGCCCTGCACTTAAAGAATTGTTTGGCTTTCAGACATGTAATCATGCTTATGCTTATGTACTACACTTTAGATACAGAATGAATTCAAGAGAGGTGTATATGGTTGGAGTGGGCAGTCCTTTGATGCCAACTAAACAGGAACAGTTTGCACATTGGAAACAAAGTGTCCTTAGCTGTCTTTCTCTCCCAGGTTTTGAAGGAATTTCATAGAGGTGGTCTAACATGGAAACCCAGTGTGCAAATAATCATCACTGTCTCTTCTGCTCCAGTATTTTATCTCAAAGATTTTTAAATCTTGATTTAGGTCATGCCTAACATCTCGTTATCAGACTAATTCAGATATTAGAACCAACCAGCCAAACACACACACTCCCAAACCACAAACAAAAACAACGCAACAAACCAAACAACAAAAGAACCCACCAGAGAAATGTCTTAGAAAGACTATACCAAAGGTCAGTTGTGTATTGTGGAACAAAATAAGTATAAGTGATCTCAGGATACCAACATAAACCTCATGAGACTTTGAATGAAACTTTGAGGAGACCTCTACATCAAGGACTTAAGGGTTTTCATGTACCAGATAATGACAAGTTCTCAGCTGACAAATGCTTTGATGCTTAATTACAGTTAAAGTAAAAAGTTCCATCTGATTGCAGTAATGCTTAAAATACATTGTTTTCAGTTAACATAATGCACACTATTTGGGCTGAAAACAATTCTGTTTGTGTAAAGTATGCATGTAATGCTTTGAGTCTCCTGTGCCTATGGCTGCAGTAGTAAATATTCCATTTTGCCCTGTCACTTGCTTTGTCCATGTTCTGACAAGTTCTGGTCATGTTGCAACACAAGCTCCTTGTGCACCATGTGATTTTATTTGTGTTACAGACTGGGTTAACCAAGCTTCTGCTGCAGTCTTGGCTGAATGAGAGGGGATGTTGGTTATTGCTACTAATGACCATTCTGCAATCTGATTAAAACACACAAAATCACGTGGATTTTCAGGAATTTAAAGTAAAAGGGCACTCACTTGTTTCATGTCTCTTCCTTTGGAATGGAAGTTCTGGGGCTTTGTTCTTCATTAAGAGCCTCTCAGTTCTGCCCCAGAGATGGCACTGTGTTTTAATGGCAACTTCTACATGAATAGTACTTTAAGAACCTTTGGGGTTTTTGGACAAAGGCACTGGATTAATGCCAGATTGTGATAAGAGTGTTGTTGTCTTTAGACAGCTATTATGAACCTAAGGTCTTAAAGAAAACTTGGCATGTATAAGGTGCCAGTTTTGCTCATCTATACCTGAGAACAAGATAAAATGCTTGCATGTTAACTGATGGTCAGGTCATAGCAGTTGTGAAGTTTTCCTCTGAAAGCAAGGCTTGGTGGAGAAGTTGCAAAATGGTGTGATAATCTGAAGTTTCCTGTAGGTTATGTGAGGTCCAAGTTTAGTATGAAAGTCTATTATATATCATTAACTTAAGTGACTTTCTCAGGAGTGAAAATGCATTCTGTTTGTGAATGTTATCTATCCATTATTTTTCACAGTGGAGAAAATACTGTTGATATTCAGGTGCTTATACATGCAATCAAACTTCAGATAGTCAGCAAAATAGTACTAGAATCATCAAAAATAAAGCTGCTATTAGCATAATCTAGTTGAAATCACTAGAACATTAGTGTTTTGCGTGTCATCCTGTGTTGAAACAGAGTGCCAGTCTTTTGTATGGGAACTTATTCCCTCTCTGCAGGCTCTGTAATACTGGAAGCATCTCCAGACCAGTTTTCTTACTTGATTTTTCTGAAGGTTCATAGGAATCTGAGAGGCATGGACAGGTTGATAGCTCTGCAGAGTCCTGTCTATTTTAATGTCATATTGAACAATCTAAAATATGTCTTGTCTCTGTAGTCCTTTATACTCATTTCCTTCTGTCCATTCATTTTGTGTTATATATTTTTATTTGAATTCTTGGAAGGCTGCTCCAGTGCCTATTCTGTGAAGTAGTGCATGTCTACTTCTTTGATTTGTATATGTTTTAGAGTAATCATGTTGCAGATCTTAGTAATATACTACTGTACAATATATTGTCCCCATAGAACCAGTCCCTCTACCCCTAAAGTTTTTGAGAGTGGCCTTTGAACTGCTTCCATATTACTGATACTGAGCAAAATTGAATGTCTTAATCTGGAAAGAGCTTTTAGCAGATCAAAAGTTTGCCTTTCTGGTCTCTTGTGTAATTTTTCTGCCTTTAAGGTCCAAAAAACACAAGTGCTTTTGCTTTGTAATATGTAATCCACTTACTGTTGTTGCCTCTGATCTTTTTCAGTAGTATTTCCCTTGGGTCAAAGATACTCAGCTAGTACAAATACGGTTTGCATTGCCTGTGAGTGTGGTTTTTCTACATCTTTGGGTTTGCTTTGTTGGTTTTGTTTAATTTAGTAAATGCGATAAGCTTGATGTGCTGCTTTTATTCTGAGTATTTAACAAAGATAATTGTAAGGATGAGGACATGTGATGCCAGTGCACTGGTCATCTCTTTGCAAACTCTGTCTTGCTCTTTGTTGTTATTAAATCAATAGGTATTGGGTAAAATCTCATTTCAAGGGAGAATTGTTCTACCCAGTAGACAAGTTAGATTCCTACACATTCCAGGGGTACCAGTGCGCACTGTGTGTCTTGTTCCTCTTTTGGCCTTCATAACCCTAGAAAAGTTTAGAAACTCCACCTGAGTTCAGTGCTTTACAAGACCCTCCTACTTACTGCTGTGTTTCAGTTAAAACTACATGTGTAGTTTGAAGGGCAGGCAGAGATAAAGAGGGAAATAAGAGTTGCAGTGGGCATCAGTTGTCCGCTGTCATTAAAAGCTGGAACCTCTAGTTTTGGGGATGTTTACATTTTCTACAGAATAATTAGGATTTTTATGAAGGTTCTGGTGTCCTCAACATAAAAAAGGACATGGATCTGTTGGAACAAGTCCAGAAGAAGCCACGAAGGTGATCAGGGGACTGCAGCACCTCCCGTGTGAAAACAGGCTGAGAAAGCTGGGGCTGTTCAGCCTGGAGAAGAGAAGGCTGCGTGGAGACCTCATAGCAGCCTTCCAGTATCTGAAGGGGGCATATAGGGATGCTGGGGAGGGACTCTTCATTAGGGACTGTAGGGATAGGACAAGGGGTAATGGGTTAAAACTGAAACAGGAAGTTTAGATTGGCTATAAGGAGGAAGTTCTTTACTGTAAGGGTGGTGAGGCACTGGAATGGGCTGCCCAGGGAAGCTGTGAATGCTCCATCCCTGGTGGTGTTCAAGGCCGGGTTGGACAGAGCCTTGGGTGACATGGTTTAGTGTGAGGTGTCCCTGCCCTTGGCAGGGGGGTTGGAACTTGATGATCTTAAGGTCCTTTCCAACCCTAACTATTCTATGATTCTATTATGGTTTTGTGATTAGTTTTTTTAATACACTGTCCTGTCAGAAAAGCCATGACTATCAAATTGGTGCTTAATGGAAATAGGTAAGAAAAGGCTTTTCACTTTCTACTGACGTTCTCCATCCAAGATGAGCTCCTCTTATTTAATGGATAAATGGAGGTGATGTGTAATTATTTAGAGATATTTCCCTCCTGCAGTTCCTTTGAGGATCTTACAGTGGAGGCATGTTGTTGTGCTGTTTGTTCTTTAGTACTTCTGGCTGGTATTTGCTTCCCAGAGAGCAGCATAGATTCTAACCACAAGCAGTTGTTACCTGCCTGCATTGCTTTAGACCAGATTTCTGGAGGTCTCTCCTGAGGAGCTTTCACTGCTCTTGTCTGTGTTCCATCTGGACATTCGGGTCTGTCGCCTTGCTGATGCTGACAACTTGTCCATAGCAGCTCTTGGCATCCAAAACAGTGCTCTAATTTCACCCTCAGTTTTACAGTGATGATCTCATGCTTGTCCATTGAGTATGGTCATGGAATGGAATGTTTGTTTGTCTCTTTGTTCAGGTGTTGTTTTGAACTTTCTAATGCTTTCTTTTCAACATCAATACAAATAAAATTTGAGTAGGTAGGTGATGTGGGCTAATCAATTCCCCATACTTACTTGGTAGTGGAATTCAAATACCTCTTTTCAACAATAAAGGCAACTCAGGTGTCACAATGACGTGGGGCACAGTTCACACCAGTAATTTCCAAACTAGTGTCAGTAGAGTTATGTATATATCCAATGAAAAATCCAAATGCTTAAACATTTGAAAGTCACTTGAAAGATACAGCAGTAATCCAGGCAAAAATCTTTTGTATCTGAGACAAGGAAAAACCAATGGCTTAAGTCTTAGAGAAGAAAAACTAAAAACCTTAGTATTAGAAAATCTGATGCAGCTGCTTTGGTCCATTGCAACTTACTGTGCTTAGAATTCCTAATGTTTGTATAACTTTTTATCTGGCTTGTAAGACAAATGTTATAGATGTAAATATCTAACTTGTATAAGATGGCAGTTAATGTTTGTTGCTTAAAAATTGCTTGTAATAAACTGTTAATCCTGATGTATGCCGAACACATACAAGATGGCTTTTTACTGTAACATCTGTTAGATGTTACGCAGTAGCTACTAGAAATGGCTTTTCCCGTATTATAAAAACTTAACCAACAAAAAAGCTCTCCTGAAACAAACAAAAAACCCAAACCAACCACAAAAATACCTGTAAGCTGACTCCTGTGAATACACAGGTATTCTGTGCCCGGACTGCCAGGTACTTGGGCCTGGTGTCCCATTTCCTTTGTGTGGAAAAAAGTCATACTTCTGTGACTTGAGACATAATTCAGCTAGGCTGTTGGACTGCTGTTTGATTTACTGCTTAATGGTGGATATTCCCTGGTGGAAACACTGATGTGTCTGTAAGAGTAATTAACAAGACCTGTTTTCTCCTCTATATTAACCTGCTGTCAATTATTATATTTGTTATAAAATCTGTAGTAGTTTTGATTATTTTTATTTAAAAGAAAATAAATGTGGCATTTTTCAGTTCATCTTTTTGTTTTGGTTTTGGTTGCTTTGTAGCCTCTTGTACTTCTCAGAGTTCTGCAAGTTGCTGCTCAATTGCAGATGTATCTTAATTGTCTTTTGTCAGGGAGAACTGGTGACTGCATCAAAGGCAATAATTGAGAAGGAATATCAACCCAAAGTCATAGTGAGCACGACAGGACCAAATCCCTTCAATAAACTCACCGATCGGGAACTGGAAGAGTATCGCAAAGAAGTAGAAAGGAAGCAGAAGGGACCAGAAGGTTGGTTTCTCTGTGTGTGTTTTTTCTGCAATAGACTGAGTTTATTACTAATTGGATGGTGGGTTACCTGCAAAGACCATAGATTAAGTATTCAGCTTCGGAGTGTTTCAGTTTTCCCAGTGTGACTTAAAAATGTAGAGGCATATTGGAGATAGAATGTGCAATCTGAGTGTTAATGGAGTATTCTGTAAAGTGCATCATTCTTCTCTTAAAAATTATCCTAGCAGACAAACTGGGTGTTTAGGATGGCCAGGTAATGCAGTCAAAAAAGTTTTTTGCAGCATTGCAGACTGTTCACTTTGTTTCCCTTGGCACTAGATACAGTCTAGGGTGAGACAGTAGTGTTGCTTTTCAGCAGCAAAACTGGAGTTTTCTACCTCATTGAAAATTGTGGATTTGAGAAATCTGTTGAAAGGGGAAGGTACAGAACCATGTTTGGTGGCTACTTGGAAATGGCACATGTCCCCCAAAACAGACTTTCTAAATTACTGTAGACTTATGGAGATGGTTGTTGCATCTGAAGTGGTTCTCCTGCTTTACTCCTCTATAATGTTAAAGCATGATACTTAGATGCTCATCTGTTGTTAAGTTTTGAATTTGAGCAATGCAGGAACCAGAAGTGTCTTTTCTCTTGCAGTGTGTCCTCCTGGCTTCTGCCTTTTTTTTGATAAGATGATGTAGGAGCCATTGTAGATTGTATGTGTTCAGTTAATCCAGTATTGGACTGTGTTGGGTGGGATATTCTGCTGTTACGCCTGTGTAGCTGGCGTATTATTTATTCTCTCAGTAACGTTGGTACATCCTTCTTAGATAGGATACCAAAATATGGATAGGCTGTGTGCCTGAGACAAACCCCACCTGGGGAGTAGAGCACATTGCTTAGAAACCAAACCATCAGTGAGCAAAATAGATCAGATAAAAGAATCTCTGTGTTTGAAAGGCAGATCAGAAGCCTTTCAAGGAACCAGATACAAAGACTTTACCGGATTGTGACGTATCATCACTGTCTAAATCTTTAGATAACACTCAGTTTGCTGCTGCATGGGTTTCTTGTCAGACCACGCAGCAAGTCATCACACATCTTAACCGAGAAGAGCCAGATGGGCAGAAGTCCTCCCATAAGGAATTTCATACTGCAGTGATCAAAGCATTAAGGTCCAATCCTGTCCTTTTGGCTGAGGCCTCAGGTATTATTAATATGGTACAGTTGTGCTTGCAATCTAAGGAACAACCTCTTTAGCTACACCATTTGGAGATTCTGTCAGTTGACTCTCATCTGTGGGGCTGATTTCACTTTTAATTGTGTAGGTGAACTGTACAGAAAAATGTTGTAACACTTCCTGATACACGGTGTACTCTGTTAATGTTTAAACCTGGAAGTAAGGGGGACCTTCCTTGCTAATTACAAACACAAAACCACTGTGAAATCTGTTTTGAATCACTTAATTACTGCATGTTTCTCTGATTATCCATGCAATCTTCTCTTTGTGGGGGATGCAAATTTGTTTACTCAGAGTCTCAGCAATACAAAGTAAGCAAAAGAGCACTCTCTCGCATAGATCTGAAAGCATTTTCCCCTCCCAGCCCGTTTATCTCTTCCTTGTGGCTTTTCCTCACCAGTTTTCTTCAGAACAGCATGATAAACCAATTCATAAACTATTACATTGTTCATGCCCTTTTGGAAAAACAAAAACCACCACAGAGCACAGCTGTGACTTGAACAGTCCTGTTAATATCAAACTATCACTTATTTTCCTTTTGCTTGCTTTGGTATTATTTCATATCCTGGCAGAATTTTGATGCCGGAAAATGTATTCAGATCTTATGCACATGGAGCACAATGTTTTCTTGAATGCTGAAAGGTTTCCTCTGCCTTTGTACATCTGCAGAACCTTCAGAAGATGGCAGGCCACAGAAAGAGAGAAGTCCCCCTGATCCCACTTCAGCTCGCACTCCTCCCAGCACGCCGATTAAAATAGAGGAAGGTATGTTCTGATCATGTGGGGGCCAGGGAAACCCAGTAACTGCATCACTAGTGACTGACGCATGAAAATATATGAACTAGTAGCTAATAAAGGTAAATTCTGTCTTGTACTTTATACTACCTAAAATATACTCCACTAAACTGTGAGTGTACTGGGAGTTCTGTTTTACAATAATAAAGAAGTGTGCATTAATATAAAGACAAAATTTTCATCTCTTCAGAATTGCCTTGTCATCTCTTGGTGTTTCTCAACTGATTTACCCTTTTGTACATTTTCTGTGAGAAATGGTGGCTCTTAGAAAATGAATAGTGTCTGATGTGAACCAGACACAAATCTGGATGCTTTGGTAAATCACCTTCGCTGATTGCACATTTCTTAAACATTATTGTATTTGGATTACACCTCAGTAAATAATTTTCCAACTCAATTTGACTCTAAATATGATTTGCTCACCTTATGTAGTAGTTTTAACTTAAATGAGAGCAGGGCTGGTAAAGTCCACAGTTTCCTCAAATAAAGGATGAAGTAACAATCTTGAAGAGGTGTAATCTAATTTTTGTCTTGTTTCCTTTACCTTGTGCATTGGACATATCACTTGTCTGTTAGTCTTCCATTCAATACCTCATCTCATCCTGTTTTCGATAAGAATGGTTGCAACCATTCTTTTAACTTAACACAATGGCTGTGATGAATGCATAGATTCTCTACTTGTGCTTTTTTCTTCTTGTGGCTGCGTTACAAACAGGAGATGGATATGCTAAAGAGTACCTGTTACCATAGTAAGTATCATTCCATACTCTGACCTGCTTATGTGCTTTGCTTCACTCTGCATCTTTGTTTACTAAGGGGTTGTTGGTTTTGCTTTTTTTTTTTTCTTAAGCAGGCTCTTTCAGTTGAGACACTGATGTCTTCAGTTGTTGGCTTCATGAAATTCTAGGTAGTTACAGATCTTATGTGAAAATGCACTCCCCCTTCGAGAGACTGGAAGTGACATTATGTGTTTCCATATCTGTATGTCCAGTTCCTCAGCTTAAAAAAGAATAGTCTGAAGTTGTCTTTCAGGTACAGCTGAAACAGGTCTGGGAGTTTCTGCCCCAGCTGTTTGCTGCTGCCTATACAACCTGGTATGGACCTGGTAGTGACATGGAATGAAGTTCCTTATCTGTTCCAGTGCAAAAGTTACCACTGGCATTGACTGAAACTTACCCAGCAGACTTCTGCACTGGATATGGAGCTACTTCAATGTTATATGTGTCAGCTGTAGAGAAATCCCAGTTCCAACAAAGGAATAACAGCAAGAACACGGTGGCAGCAACTTCGACATCTGTTTCAGCTGGCTCTGCAGGGCTACCTCAGATTATACTTTGAAATAATAATTGTGTTTGGCCCCTTCCATTTGTATGTCCTGTTATATCCGAAAGTCAGCGTGTTTGTTGTCGTTACAAAAGTCCAACTACAGCATAGACACCTGTGGTGTTACAAGTAAAGCTGTAAATCCTGAAGAGTCTTTCAGTTTGAGAATCGTGCTCCACAAACTCTTGTAGTTGTGTAAGTTTTTCAGGACAAACATACAAAGCTCATTTTGGAGAGTAACTGGAAGTTCACGCCCATGATGACTTTGGTTGGCAGAAGTTCTGTTGAATGACGGTGGTCTCTGTATAGAGCTGCTTCTCAACCTTTTTACCTCATATTTTCCTCTATTTAAGCATAGCTGAAGTCAGCAAACTGTTCTGTGTTAACTCAGTTGTGGCCTAGTTTGTATGTTTGTCCACATGTTTGTGTTGGAAAAAAACATTAAACCTTTATTCTTCATAAATAATGTGAATTGTAAACACTCACCAGTATTGTTACTTTCCAAACTCTTATGTCACAGTATATAGAAAGCAGGAGCATGGATCTAGGCATGAGTGTTCTAAAAAGCTTCAGAAGTTTTGAGGTACTGCTGAGTTCTTAAACTGTAAACAGGTTCTGCAGCAAGATGCATTCTTAAACCTTCCTAGTTCCATTACTGGAATCCATCAAGTAGAACTAAGATGTCTGCATACTGCATGCTGTCTTTACCAAATGTGGAATTTGTGAATCCACCCAGTTCTGGTAAAATACTGCCCTTAGTGAGCTGGGTAAACAGATGTTTGTTTGATTCCAGCATAATGCTAATCTATTTGGGAAAGCTGATGGTAATTTGACAGACTGGGAAGGATAGCAGTCCTGGATTAAGGAGTTATAAACCCGCTTACATTTATCCAAGGCTTAGGCCAACTGGCAAATGCCTGTAGCTTCCTGTTCTTTCATTTTAAGAATTTATAATCTTTTTTTTTTTTTAACTTTGTTTAAAACTTTCTTTTAAAGTTATTTTAAAAAGCTACTGTGAAACTGTCAGGCAGTATAACATGGTGCCTGCTCTGTAACAATTGGGCCAGCTAATGAACAGAGAAGACTATTTCAGTTGGAAGGGACCAGTAACAGTGATCCAGCCCAACTGCCTGACCATGACAGGGCTGACCAAGAGTTACAGCACATTGTTAAGGGCATTGTCCTAATGGCTCCTAAACTGACAGGCTTGGGGCATCGATCACCTCTCTAGGGAGCCTCCTTCAGGGTTTCACCTGAGGCTGAGAAAGTTGGGGCTTAGGCTGAGAAATCTGGGGCTGTTCAGCCTGGAGAAGAGAAGGCTGCGTGGAGACCTCAGAGCAGCCTTCCAGTATCTGAAGGGGACCTACAAGGATGCTGGGGATGCACTCTTCATTAGGGACTACAGTGATAGGACAAGGAATTAAAACTTGAACAGGGGAAGTTTAGATTGGATATAAGGAGGAAATTCTTTCCTGTTAGGGTGGTGAGGCACTGGAATGGGTTGCCCAGGGAGGTTGTGAATGCTCCATCCCTGGCAGTGTTCAAGACCAGGCTGGACAAAGCCTTGGGTGATATGGTTTAGTGTGAGGTGTCCCTGCCCATGGCAGGGGGGTTGGAACTTGATGATCTTAGGGTCCTTTCCAGCCCTAACTATTCTATGATTCTATGACCACCCTCTCGATAAAGACATGTTCCCTCAAGTCCAGTCTAAATTCCCCTGGCACAGACATCTTGTCCCTGGATCGTAGGGAGAAGACATCAGCAAGGCTTTCAGTTAATTCCTGAAAAGTAAAATGAGATCCCAAAAGAACGAATTGTAGGTGGTGCTTCTTATGGGTCTGTGCATCACAGACTTAGGTTAAACCAGAGTTCAGGGGGCAGTCTGCATTGTACATAATGGCTTTTTCTCTTCTTCCTCTTAAGTCCTGCCTGCATTTTAACTTTTAAACTGCTAACTCGTGCATTCCGAGTGTTTGGCACTGAATACTAGTGTGTGCTGTTGATTTAACCTATTAGAAACTCATGCTGCTCTAGGCAAACTATGTTGGTTTTCTAGCAGGTATTCACAGAACAGAGCCCTCTGAAATATGTCAGAGGATTATCACTCCCATCTGGCAGAAAGAAAAAGAACACTTGTCATTTCCATAGGAAAAATGGGAAAGTATCAACTATTTTTCTGTAAATTCTTATGAAAGCCTTCAGCCTTTTCAAATTAAAATGAACAAGATTTTAAAAGGAGGAAAAAAATAGTTGCCTTTTGTGCCTTACAATGAGCATGGCCTGGATTTTGTTCTGAACTGCTCCTTACGTAACATCAGTGGGGGTATATTTGACACAGCTGACGAGATCCTTCTTGGTTCCAGCGCAGTGACGAGCTTTGCAGGGAACTCTAAAAACTGCAGGTTGTGTTAATGTACCAAGAGGAGCTGTAAACAGAACATCTCTAAAGTGTAGTGGTGAAGGAGGGAAGTGTTACTGTTGAGGGAGCGGTGGTGAAGTTCACCTTTGGACGTGAAGTTTGGACCAGGTTTTTGATGTTCCTTTTACAGGGGTGAGTTTTGCTGTTAGACATCACATACATTAAGAACAAAAGCTGTTATTGCATAACCTGCTGAGCTCATTTAATTTAATAAACCCCATGGATTTAACTTGCAGGTATCCATAATATATACTCATATCTTGCGCACCAAGTGAAGCCTTTGTGATAGGAGATCATATTCTGAAGCAGCAGTTGTTAGATCTCATGGGACAATGTTATAAAGATCCAAGCATTTTGATTACAAATTGGCAAGCCAGCCCCTTAGAAATCAGTGGATTTGATTTGTTTGTATCGATCACTGCAAACCGGTGATTAGTTCTGTTCCACCAAAACCAAAAAGAATTGAGATTTGGAATTTCATGTTGAATTTCCTCAGTGCCAGGAGAGCAGGTTCAGCTCCTGCTTACTGCCCTGAAACCTCCTGTACGTTACACGTAAAAAATGAGAGCTGAAACAGTCGCTTTCTTGCTGGTTTACATCCACAGGATGGAATTTGGCTCTATCTGTTCTGTGGTCAGAAGCGTAAAGACAAAGAGAACATTCAGTATCTTGTTTGTACCTCTGTGCGCAAAGCAAAATGAGCCCAGACCTATTACAAAGGCTTTTCTGCAAAGTAAATCTTAGGTTTTTTTATAGAGCGCGTTCACCATCAACTCACTTCGCTTCTGTGTTCCAGGGACACTCGGGTAAAACTAACTGTGTTGTTGTGTGTCCCTCCACCAGAGAGACAGCAGGACCAGACTTACAAAGATGACAGTGACGCTGCAACTTTCAAGCAAACCCTCCCAGATCTCACCCCTGACGAGCCTTCAGAAGCACTCAGCTTCCCTCCCTTAGGGAAGGAGGAAGGGAGGTGTGAGGAAGATGTGCCCAAAAGCCAAACGGAATCACCTGCAGTGGAAACCAAGGAACCCCAGCCTCAACCTGCTGAAGAGCCAGTGACACCAACCACGGAGGAGGGGCCGGCAGCCGATGCAGGTAGTGATGAATCTCCAGGGAAGTCCCCATCGAAAAAGAAAAAGAAGTTTCGCACTCCTTCCTTCCTGAAGAAGAGCAAAAAGAAGAGTGACTCCTAAAGGCCAAACACACTGCAGAAACACTGTCATTCCCACCTCCATTAACCACTAGAATGTACCAGATCGTACCGAGTGTTTTGTCGTACTTATGTAAATGAATGCAACAGGTAACCCAACCAGCCCCTCGAGTTATGGCTTGATTGTTTGAGGTTGTAACCAGAAACTAATGGCCAAAAAGGTGCTAATCCTGTGTTTTCAGCAGCTACCGCAGATCTGATCCTGAATTTGGAATCAAATGTGAATGACTTCCATGTGGAAGGCATCGAACCGCTATTCTTGATTTAAAGCCTGCGCTGCTTTACAAATGAATAAAGAGATGTTCACAATTACAAATAAACCACACATGGCTTACACCAAGGAGCGTTCTTCTCCCATGTTCTGTTCCAAGTCACAAGTAAGCTTCCTTTTAAGTGCTGACTTCTTGAGCGGATGCTGTTGCAGTGACGCTCTCGAGGGGAGGTGTTCTTGAACTGACATGTGAGTACATGCTCGCAAACCCTGTTTTAGTCAAGCTTTGAGGCTAGTCCATTCCTTCCTCTCTCTCCCCTCTCACCATTGTAACAAAACAAAGGTGTTTTTCACTTTATTTTCTAACTGGCTCGTGAAATCATCTTTGCTGTCCAGGACTGAAATAACCATGGTGTGTTCCGCTCACAGTTGTGCGTTAAGAGCCCAATCCTACTTCCTAGCAAATGCAGTTGAAGGGAAATGTGACTTCTGAGTCTTGCCTCCCTATGGATTGCTCACATGGTGATTAGGCTGTTAGAACAGATTAAAAGTAACTGTACTGGAAGTGTCTGGGAGGTTTCGCAGTGGTGATGTGAAGCCTGGGCTGCTGGTTTGGGCCTTAGCAGAGGGTTTGGGTGCAGGGCTGCTGCACGTAAACCCTGCTTGCAGCCTTCCGTGTGTGTTCTTCCCATGATAACAATGTAAATGCATTACACTGAATAGGTAACCTTGTTTTATATGAATTATTTTCACTTACAAAAACTGGTGTTTCTTTAATATTTTATTTTTGTTGCCAGCGGTGAAGTACAGAAACCCCAAGTAACCTTAAAAGGTGTATTTTCACAGTTTGCTATAAATGTTTGTTTAATATGTAGCATGGTAAAGAAAATCACTTTTTGCCACTGAACTCGCTATTTCCCAGTCACTGCCATGCTTCTGTCTGTCACCCGTCCTAACAGTAGTGCCAGGTGGGGTAGGGAGGGCTGGAACCCGTTGGGTTCCTCATGTCAGTGTTTCTGGTTCAGCAGCAGCAAATGCTGAGAGCCCTGCGAGGAGAGGGCAACGCGCTGACTCACGGCAAGCGGCTGTAGAAAACAGGATGTGGCTGGCACCTCTTAGAACAATAGTAAACGTTGCAGTGGGTAAAATAGCAGCAAACTAATGCCTTACGCTGCTGCGGCAGAGCAGGGGCACGGCTCAGGCTGGGAGATGGAAGGGGAAATGGAGCTTTGGGTGCGGAAAGAGACTTGGAAGAGGGGTCGGTGCCAAAGCAAGGCAGGCGACTGCCCAGGGCCGCAGCGGCTTCACGTGTGCTTGAACCTTGTGTCCCCTCTGCCCACTCTTAAGAGTGCAGTGCTCACCTTGCTGAATCATGTTCTAGCGCAGGGTCCTAATTCAGTGACTAATTGCTGTATGTTTCAGTTCTTTAATGGAGTCCCCCCATTTCTCTCGACCACGTATGCAATGACTCTTTAATTTCTAATTTTGTAGTTTGTTCTTTTAATTCTTTGTATTACAGTATGAAATGTAGTCATGTATGCTATGGTTACACACTTCGGGGTAGAATAAAGTCCTGTATTTTTTTCTCTTGTATCATTAAGTTCTACTCACAAATAAAAGTCTTAAAACCTTCATGTTCTGCTTTCAAACCTTTGTGCAGTTTTGTTGTACATCTGTAGCCTGTCAGGTTTCATTTGTCCCTTTTTCTATCAGTGGTTAATGTGTTGATTAATGATTGCTTTAATGTATTTCTACTGGGTGCAGGGCTCCTTCCCCACTCATCCTGGGGCAGCACCCGGGTGGCCCCAGGGGAGGGAGGGTACCCCAGGAGGTATTCAGCACTGCAGGGAGTTGTGGTCCCCCCAGGGCTTTGCCAGAGTGAGGTGGCTGTAAGGTCATCACTGTGATTCACTGAGCAGAGCAGTGTCTGATGGAAGAGTTTATTTGCAGTGCAAAAGGAACACTGCTGGGTCAGCAGAAACCATCACAGAGAATAAGAAATATAAAACATCTCTCAATTTAATTGTGTATTAAAAACAGTCTCTGTCCGGCTGGGGGAGCCTGCAGCTGCTGCTTGGGTTTGACTGTCATGTTTTAAGGCAGGCGGTCAAGCTGTTACCAGGCCCCCTACACCTTAGGGTGCCAACTGCTGCAGTACCTGGTGCAAGGCCCCTGGGGGACTGTTCTTTGGTAGCCAGGCACAGATCAGTCAGTCCATGGCAGTGGAGGCTGAGGACAGGGAGAGGAGCAGAGCCGAGGACAGTGGGCGCTGCAGCTTCACCCATGCTTGGCAGAGTTGTGGTAGCAGGGGCCGTGCTGCTGCTGTGACAGCCCTGCTTGGCCAATGGGCTCAGTGCTTTACTCCACCGGTCTGGGAGTGTTTGGTGGTGGTGGTTCTTCTATTTGTGAAACCAGCCAAGCTGGCTGGGAGGTCATGAGACACGGAGCTGGGGGGGGGCTGTAGGAGACCTGAAGTCTGTTGTTGCTGCAAGTGGTTATGGAGTAGCCCCTTTCAGAAGATCAAAGTCCTCCTCTTCCTCTTTGAACAGCAGAGTTGGGTGCTGAGAGTCAGGTTGAGGAGTGGTCCTGGGCAGCCAGTGATAGTTCTGTGGTTCCTTCCTACTCCTCCTTCAGCGGCTCTTTTATAGAACCAAGTAAAGCAAAGGGGACGAGGAAGAAAGCACCACAGAGGGTGAAACAAACCTCAGCCCCTGCCAGCCAGTAAACTGCAAAGGAAGCAGATTTACCTTGTTAGTCTCTGCACCTGTGTCAACTGGAGCTGCTGTTTTCCACAGCTTACACTTGGGAGCAAGTTTTCTGTAAAGCCCAGTCATGCTCTCCCTCTTGGAAAGCCGTCCTGCACAGGCACTGTGGGGCAGTGGTTTGGTGAGCCAGAGCGAGCTGGATGCTTGGCACATGGATGCAGCCAGGAAACAGATTCTGGCTTTGCTCACTTAATGTTAGGTCTGAGTTCCAGCTTTGATGTGCTGCACTGCTCCTTCCCCTTACTCTGTCCCTGTAACAGCATGAGGGGGGCCGACCCCCCTCAGGCACAGCCTCCTTTGGCCTTAGCCAGGGCCCCAAGGCACCGTGCATGCCCTGAGTGCTGGGGACTCCTTAATTCATAGGTTACAGATGCTTTAGCGCTGCTTCTGCAAAGACAACGTTATGGGGCTCCCCTTTCCCTTCCCACTCAGCAGTGCTGGGTGTTGGCAGAGGAGGAAGGAGCAGGAGGCCACACTCACCGGTAGCTGACAGGATCGGTCCCAGGGCTCTGGCCAGGGCGCCCAGGCTCCGCAGGATGCCCATCACTCGCCCCTTCTGGCTGGCAGAGCCTGTGCAAGCAGAGAGCGGTTGTTGGGAGGGGGTGCTGCTGGGGCAGGGCACTGCTCTAGTTCTGGAAGCCTTATTCCCTTGGAGTGTTTCCCACACATCTCCCCCTCCTTTCATTCCACACTCACTGCCCAATCTGCATTTACTTCCCCTCCACCAAGATAAACATGGCTGCTTCATGCAAAACCAGCAGGGCTTGTCAAGAGGGCCTGGTCAGGGACATGGAGTGCATTCTCCTTACCATACCCCCCAAAACCAACAAGAAACAATCTTTCCATTGTACCAGGTTTGCTGAGGAGGCACAGGTGTGATTGATATGCACAGAAGCATGGATGCAAGTCAAATTGGAGCAATGCACAAGTGACATCCATGGGCAAAGCCACCTCAGCAAGCACTGCAGTGTTGACAGAGCTAAAGAAAGGATGGTGTCATCTGCACAGCACCACAGCAAGAGCTGCTTTACCAGGTTACATCGCAACCAGCACTGCCAGCCCAGAACAACTCAGAAGGTTCCTGAGAAGGTCTTTTCTAAGGAATTGGGAAGAAATGGTTTTCCTGCAGGCAGGGATGGCTGGGGTTTCTTTGAGAGAACCCAGGCCATTCCCTCTCTCAGTCCTGGTTGTGGCCTTTGCCCATGATATTAATCCCTTGCCTATGCTTCCTCATCTTTTTACTCATAACCAGAAATAAGGTTGCTTCATGTTTCCCCATATCATTGGAATAAGCTGTGTTATGCAGTACAACACATTACAGTGTGGTGCTGACAGCCGCTGACCAGATGGCTGCTGTATGTCAGCTCTGAACCTGTCCACCACGGAGTGCTGCCAGCTGCAGACACAGGTACAGGGCACTTCAGGGTTTCCTATGCTCCCCTGTGGGATGTCCCCGAGTGTCCCAGGGTCAGACTATCCTCTTCCTATCCCTGGCACCCCCACTCATCTCCCCATCCCTGAAGAATGCTCACAGAAGAGGGGCTGAAGGCTGTAGCACCTCCAGTGAGACAAGGTTCTGCCTCCCTTCAACATGGCCCAGTGCCATCAGAGGATGGCCATGGTCATGGATCACTGCTGACGTGAAGTGGGGCAGAGCACAAGCTCTTCTCTAGGCTTCAGCCTCGCTCCTGCCAGGGTGGTTATCGCTTCAGGGTTACACACATACAATGTGGAACAGCAGCTCACTGTAATGCTCAGCATTGCTGCTGTCCTTGTGAATGCATCTGGGTGGAAAGAGGCCCCTTAAACAGCCCAAGCAGCAGCTCCAACACTTGGATCCAAGGTGGACCTAAGCCATTGAGTATTCTTGTTGATGCATCACTAACTTGAGGTCAGTTCTGTACCTCAGCCAAGCCTCCACAAAGGTCACTGAAGTGGCCAAGGGCTGCTGCTCAAAGCAGGAAAGACACTCACCGTAGCCTGACACCACTGCTGACAAACACGGGATAACAATGGCCGCAGCTGGAAAAATCCACAAAAGAGACAGTGAACAGCAGAGCTCAAAACCAGCCCAAGTGACAAACACACAGCCCTAACTCGTTACTACTGCACAGAAATATGCTGAGCTCTGGGGCACTGCACCAACAATGGATCATCGGGTTTAATCCAGTTCAATAACCAAAACACCCTCAAAGCCAACCTGGACAGAGAGCCCGGAGCCATGCGTGCTCGGAGCAGATGGTTCACATCAGTGCCTCTGGCTCTGTGAGCCCACAGGAACGGGGTGGATAGGTCAGATCAGAGCACTGGTAGTTTTCCAAATTACTGTGCTTTTGTCAGGTGGAGCAGGGAAAGGGAACTGCTCCTGTTTCAAATGACAGCGAAGGTGGCTGCTCACAGAATCACAGTCCCCAGTGCGTGTGGCTTTACTGTGCTCACAGGTGGACGAAGCTACGTTCTGTCTTGGAAATGACAGCTGAGTCCAAGAAGAAGAGGTTACAGAATCTTTGGACACAAAAGCCAAGAGCTGTTCATCAGTCACTGCCCTCTTACTGAAATAGGGGCCTTTTCTGCCAAGAAGGAAATGCTTTAAGCATACAAAGCAAAAATCTTTCCTAGGAGGGAAAGGACAGTAGGGGAGCAGGAACCATGGGCATGCTGCCTTAACTGCAAGCACCTTAACTTCTGGGGCAGAGAGAGGAAGAGAGGGAGACAAGAGGCTGCTCCAGAGGCACTTCCATCTGGCTTAAATGGGGAGATGGGGTCTTCTGCCCAGCTACAGAGCCCAGGAAGATGAGGCGCCTAACTTAGAAGCACAACTGGACAAAATGAACACCTCCTCTCATCCTCCTCACTGCTGGGCTTTCAAAACCAAGGTAATCTGTAGATAAGATGTAGATTTTGAAACCTGCCAAATACGCAACTGCCCCTAGATAAGCAAGCTGCTGACGAGATGCACTTTTGTGGTTTACAGTTTGCTCTTAAATCAAGCTGTATCTTGCAAAAGAGAAGCCTTCTACTTTTGCAATTAGTCACATTTGAAACTTCTAGCCTATCTGAAAAGATTTCAGCTATTCCCAATGCTGCTAACTATTATGTTACTATAATGTTAGCAGCACTGGGGATACCTGAAATCTCTTTTCTGATGGGCACTTCAGATGGGGAATCCAACTTCTACTTCCCTCAATAACAGCTGAGATATTGACAGAATATTACTGATGTAAACACTTAAACATCTCTGAAAACACTCCCTGCGTATCAGAAACAAGGTGGAGTTTTGCTCCCTCCCTGAGCCAGCAGCTTGCAGTGCAGGAGAGGGGAGCAGTGCCACGGTGGTCAGGGCAGTGCTGATTCACTCCCACTCTGACCTCCAGCTTCAGAGCACACAGGTCTCCTCAGCCTGCTGCCCACGGAATAACACAGCCACCATGAACACAAAGACACGCTGTCTCCCTTCTTTTCCTGAGCGGAGCTGTTCAGTGATTATTCTGCTTCTAGGTCTGATAAAAGGGGAAGACAACACCCTCAAGAGCTCTCCAGTGAGACAAGAGGACAACAGGAGCACTGGGGATGCATCCAAATATCACCATGGCAACTTCCTGTGATACAAACAGCATCAGGAAAAAAACCCAGACACAGCTTCTCTCCTCTTTTATAAACAGAAACATCAACTTTCTGTCACTCCAGATTTGAAATTCGAAATTCATCCTTTTTAATGGGGTGAATAAATAGAAGAAGAAAACTTGTTTGTGCTTGGCTTTCAGTGTGTTTTGAATAGCTCACCACAAGAGTACAGCAGCAGTCCAGCACCCAGCATGGCCACATTTGCAGCCCATCCAATTAGCAGGAAAGCTGGAATCAGCAATATAATAGCCTGCAAAAAGGAATGAGTCACACAGTCACGTTTAAGCCCTGCTTGTTGAAGCCTAACCCTAGGGCTCCTGCCAGTTCTCTTCCGCTGATGGGACTACACTGAAGTTAGACACAGAAAGCCCTTGCTTCTCAAGTAGGCATTTCAAATTCACCTGGATGGCCACACAAGAGGGTAATTTACTGTGCTGTTGCCTGTCACTGTCCCATGCTTGCAGACCATATGTTGGAGTGCAGTTATGCACCACCGACTTCCCACAACTGAGGGGAAGGTGATTTTTGCAGAGTTCCCTCTCTCATGGACAGAAATCCAGTTTTAACTCTTCAGTTCCTGAGTTAGCACAAGCGATCAAAAGGCTTGTGTGCAACAGGAACACAGCTCCTCTGCTTTTCCTCAGCAGAGCTGATTTTATCTTTAGCTTTCAGAGTCCATGCTGATGCAGGAAGAAAAAAAACTGGGGGCAGGGAATGGCATCTGGAATTCAAACCCTGAAAGAAACATTCTTCATCTCCTCCAAGAGCCTGGACTTCAGCCCCCCTGTGCTGTCTCCCTTACATACAGAGCTTCTGCAGCAAGTTAAGATCTGCTGCGTGTTCACTCCCACCAAACGTCTCGAGCTATGCTAAGGGAGGCCACATGTGATAGGAATTGCCAGAATAACTTCAGCAAAAGGGGGAACTCCCACAAAAGCATCTGAGATCCACAGGAGGAGCACTCCAGGGTCAGTGAATTCCTGCACAGTGCACATGGTGTTTGTAAGGAGCCATCAGACAGGACCAACTGAACTGAGTATGTGGAGGTAACTACACTTCCCAGTGCAGGCAAGAGGAAGGTTTATAAAAATGAGTGGGGCAACCCAGAGTTCGCATGAGCTGCAGTGCAGTGACACGCCGGCAGAGCACAGAGAGGAAGCTGATGCAGGGGATGAACCAGCGCTAACAGAGCAACAGGAGTTTTCATTCCCAGGGAAACACTTCCTCTGGGACACAGTGAGTGCCGTGCCGGCCACTTAAATCTGCCAGAGAACAGGGTGGAGATGGTTTCACCAGCAGAAATAACTTAAGAAAGGCTGAGTCAATTCCCTGGAATGCAGTGCAGTTTGGTGACCTGCTTCACCCTGCCGGTGTTAAAATCACACTGGCCTCAAAATACTGTATAATAAATTGATGGGGGCTTTAACAGTGAAAGCAAACCTATTACCAAGCGCCAACAAAGGTTCAGAGACCTGCTTTGTTGAGTTCCCCGCACAAATGTAAATGACAAGACATATCTACTTGTCCCACAGCTGTATAAGCTGCAGGAAACCGTTCCCTGTCATGCCAGTACAGCAGCAGCAGAATCTCTTTGAAGAAAAAGGCAAGCAAGCCAAGGAAACACACACCTCTGTCAGTGAAACTCTTGTCTGAATATTGGTACGTGCCACTGTAACATGCAATAATGATGATCACAAAGATCTGCCCACCAGTGAAACATACTCTAGGGAAAAAACCTGTCAAGCACAGAGATAGCCAGATTGAAGATGTCCCTGAAAATTATTTGGCAGAAATAGTTAGAGATCAGCTCTGAAGCAGCTTTAGTAGTTTCAATGTCTGCACTGCAAGAGAAATCACTGAAAAAAGCATCTTCACAGCATTTTACCTGCACAGACAGACACTCTGTTCCCATTCCTTACTGCAATTATGTATGAAGAACTCAAAGTTTCAATAGCACTGCAGCTGGTATGGTAAGAAAGGACTGTAATGTTCCAAAGCTTAGTTAAACTGAAGTGCCAAATAACCAGGGGTCTTGAGAAGTCATTTAGCTGGACTACTGAGACAGAAACTTCTTTTGATTTCACAAGTACAGTTACATCCTCCAACTACCCTTTAGACTGAAAAATTAACACATCAGATTTGTGGGGGAAAGAAAGATGCACATTATTAGGTTTTGTTACCCTTTTTACAGCTCTGATTTCATTTCCTGGCTTGATTCGGCGAGCATAGCCTCCCTGGATCACAGCCATTGTTATTCCAATAAAGAAAAACATCTTGCCCTGCTGCATGCTAGAAGGGAGGCAAAAACACAGAGCATGGAGTCACGCACAGAGCATTCCACCCTGGGATTCACAGGTCCAGTGCAGACCCTTTCCCGAACAAGAAAGAGAAAATGCTTTTTGGTGCTTGCATGAGCAGTGCAAAGTTAATATGCTGACATTAGTTTCCATGGCAAGCAGACACCAAGAAGATAAACCTCTGAGGCCTTACACAGGGATGGGACAGCTGCTGGCAAATGCTGCAATCATCTCTAGACTGTTGTGGTGTAGTTTAGTTGTTTCTAGGGTGGCCCACAAAGAGTCAGCACATTCATTACCCTGTGTGCCATGTGCCCAGGACCTGTTTGCTTCCCTAGTAAACATGTTTCTCACACCCATCATCACCACCCATGCAGAGTTGAATTAAGGTCATCGAGGCACCATATGGGCACTGACATGGTGGTGATCATGTATTGCACCAGGAAACTTGCAACATCATTCCTTCTACTCTTAAATATTTCTTCAGATTTCCCTTTCACCTCTCATCTACTAAACTCCAAGTTCTCAGCTCTGTAACAAGCTTGTTTGTCTCACAGCCTGCACTGTTAGCATCGAGTTGTGTATCTCACTACATGGCTATCCTGACCGGACGGTGCAGAAGCTTAATACACTAGAAAACCTTTCCTTGATGGGCACGCATTAGTTAAGCCACAAACTGTAATGAAAAACAGAAAGGGAAAAATGAGACAAACCCCTGAGAATTACTCAAATGGAAGGATATACGTAAGGAATCAAGCTGCAAGATCATGTTCCTGGCTGGAAATCTTCCGATGAGCTGGCAGGAAAAGTATTTCAAGCTGAGCTGCTGTTAGTGGATTCTGTTCTCTTTCTTCTCTAGTGTTTGACTAAAGGAAACCAAACTCTATGATGTAATGACTGTGCACTGTATACAATGCACAACTCTGATGAGCAAATATAATCGCACAGCTATCCCTCCCCGTCATTTGCCTTTTTTGAGCTTCAAGATTTGTCCTCATACTGAAGATCTCTTCTGGGCAAGAAAAGAACAGGTTTCATTATAATCAATGGAACTAACCCAGCTGTACCTATTTCAGAAGTTTCATGTATTGATTTTCTCTGGTCATTAGAAGTTGTGGATTATTTCCTTTCATGGTAAACAGTTTGTATCTTCATAAATTCTTCCCACAAAGCCCAAGTATGACTGAAGCAGTTGTTGCTTTCTGAGTGTTTTTCCTGACCTCAGAAATCCTTTCTTAAAAACAAGATACCTTAAATCCAGATTTTGGAAACTATCCTAGGCAGAACACACATTTATCTTCTAAGTATGCTGTACCTGCTGAACTGGAATCTCTGGTGAGTGAGGAAACTCAGTGTGTACTCCAAGCCGGAAAACAGGAAAAGGTACAGGAAATAAGCCAGACCCAAGATTTTGAGATTCTGAAGATCTAAACAAAGAAACAAACAAGGAAGGGAAAAACACCAAGGGAAAAAATAAAGAGAGATAGAGAAACACAGTGATACTTTTTCAGCCATAGCTTGAGAATATAACAACAACAATAGAGCAACATTTATCAGCTGTACAGGGAACAGTTCTCACCTCAGATGCTCATTTTAAATATCCAAGACAAGACATACCCCAAAATGACTTCTGCTAATTACCTCCCTTCTTCTGAGGGGAAAGAGCCAAAAAGACTAATCTCTCTCTGGTTCACCCTGGTCTCACTCACCCAACCCAGCCCCTCTGCCTCCCACTCCCACTGATACGGGGTATTTATTTGTTCATTATTTTAACCACTGCCTGTATTGCACCTAATACCTTGATGCTGCTCTCAGGATCACACTGGCTAAATCACAGTAGCCATTTTTCTAAGCTAGAAATGGGCTGTGCAAAATTATCTTCCTTATCTTTCTGCCAGTGCAGGGTTTAGCAGGCTTTCTCCAAAGTGGCAAATGTCACTCTATTCCTGATGCAGCAGCAAGGAGGAATGAATGATAAGCTGGTGTACCTGGCAAACACTGATTTATTTTCTTTGGCTTACAAAATTTCATATAGAGAAATGGCCAACTCAAATCCTACATCTCCAGGTCCTGATTTGAGAAATAAAACTCCAGTCTGAAGTTTCCTGGTTTGCAGCTTGAATAAACTCACATCTCCTTTACTCGTGCCTTGATCTTTTTAAACCACTTCACTTACTGCAGCCTACCCCATGCTGCAGCCAGTGCCTGAAGAAAAAGCAAGTTAGAAATCTTCAAAACACTGATCTTCTTTTGGGAATAACATGACCAGTATCCAAGGGAACTTGCAATTCCCTGTTTGTAAGTTAGGAAGGTGGGTTTTAAATGACTGAACAGAGTGCTGCTGCTGAAATGGTTTGAGTAAAGTTTTCACTTAGAAACCACTGCCACATACAAAAAGACATACAATAGAAATAGGCAAAGGCAGGTAACACTCACTCTCCTCTGAAGGGGATTCCTTTCCTCGGGTGACTGCAGAGAACCGAAATAAAGCCAAAGGACTGAGCAAGTCAACTGCTGCCTGAAATCCAGATGTCACAGAAGAGACCTGATTGGAGAAAGAAAGGGATTTATTTAAAAACCTGATGTAATAACTATTGCAAGGAACTGACAGTACCAGTTGAATGTGCTGCTACACCTACACAAATAATCTGAGATGAAACAAGACAAATGGCATTGGGGTTTGATATAATAACAGCCCAGACTTTCTGAACACAGAATTGGCTTCTGCACTGTAACTTGATGGTAGAAGACTGACAGCACCTTTCACTGAAGACACAAAAATTCTTCCCTGGGTTCTTGAAAAGCAGAAGCAGCTCATTCTCTACAGCACTGAAGGTGGCTTTATTTGGTTCACCTACTGCCTCATCCCTCATGTTCAATGAGCATTTACTTGGAAAACACTGGCACATCTGCCTGCAAGCTCATGGGAAGCTGGGGATTTGCTTGTGTGCTGCAACTCTGAGAACCGTATGTGTAGCACATCAAATACTCTGTTTTGGTACTGGCTGTTCTTTTAGACAGCCGGTGACACCTCCTGGGGAAGAAAAGGAAAATGTAATTTTTAAGAGAGAATCTTTAAAGGTATTTTAGAGAGATTTCTACAGAGATTCTACCCAGCTGCATTGTGTGGCTTTCTGAAGAGGGAAGTGTCTTTTGTACCACTTCTGGTCACTGTACTTTGTAAATCTCAACTTCATTCTGCACCTAGTGGCACTCTTCCCTGCTCCTTATCAACACATGCTCAGGAGATGCTTATTCTTTCATCTATAGGGAATTGAACTTTTATATTTTTTATTCTAAGGTATAGAAAATTAAAGAATACACTAAAGAAGAAATAATGCCTAAATTCTAAAGGAATCAAATCCTTTTAAAGCAGGAGAATTCAGACTGTCACTTTACATGACAGCCACAGGAAGAGATAAGACAGCCTCAAGAATAATGAAGAATCACACATAACTTCAAAGCACTTCACAGACTTTATCTGATGAGCTTCTTTCTCTTCCCAGATAAGGAGGGAGTGAGCTACTACCCCTCTGTGACAGAGATTAAAGGTCAAATTATCAGTGGGACTTAATCTCTGGATGACCTGAGGACTCATATGGTCTGGATTTAATTAAGCTGTAAACAAATGAACCTTCCATATAGTATTAACATGACCGCTGTCTTGTTTTGATAGTCAGAGCCTCTGACAGCAAAACTCTGGAGCCTATTTTTCTCACAACAGCAACCAGTTCAATATACTAGACTGGTTTTGTATAAAGCCATAAAGCTGCTCATGTACATAGAACAAACTGCAATATTTATTTCCCTTTCCACTGTATATACTGCAGAGAGTAAACAGACACTCCCAAGAAGAAGTTTCTTCAGGCTTTTAAAAGGTCTGTAAGAGGATTTCCTGAAGCTGGCTTGTAGCAATCCTCAGTTCCTGCATTTGTTGGCATGACGGTGTTTGCACTACAGCACAGGGAATATGAGAGCAAGCAACTCTCTTCAAGCATATTTGCCAGTAACAAAAAACCCTGCAGGTTGTACCTGGTTTAAATTATTACCCACGTCAGACAAGGTGTCAAGCTGCTTTGCACTACAAAGCTGATTTTAGTTTGGCCCAGAGGATCTACACTGCATCACAGATAATGTATATGCTTAAAATTGTGCTTTATAAAAGATATACAGATATATATACACATATTTATTAGATTCTTTAATATATGTGTGTGCATATAAATCTTTTAATTTCTCCTCTATTTGCCCCAGAAGCAGTGATCTGCAAGTGCCTTCATGCACTGATTAATAATGAAAACATTGTCCTAAACCTGACAAAAGCATTTCACCACCCCCAAATAGCAAAGTATACACTGCAGTTTCAGTCCATGTCACCAGCTGTGCTGCATGGAGTTTAGATTCTTTTCAGGTTCAAAATCTGCAACATCTGATTTGTGTTTAATTTCTATGCTTCTGATTTATTACTCAGAAATTGCTCAGTTTTACCTCATGATCACTCCAAATGTCACCTTGAAAGCCAGACATTTCTCAGTGTCTGTTTACTCTGTTTTCTTCTAATGCAGAGAGATTAAGTAATATGCCTTGAAGGCTCAGAGTCAGTCCAAATCAGGATGCAGCCTGCACTTTCCAAGCTGCAGCCTTACTCCTCAGACACTGTTTAGTATGCATAGAGCAAAAGCTTGTTTTTCCATAAGTCTGCTAGTGATGCTCCACAGCCCTACACATAGTTCTTATATCATCAGTTGTAAGACCCTCCCTCCAGCTAGGCAGCCTTGCCCATGACTAGTTTAGCTAAGCATCAACTCTAAAGGTCTTAAAGGGGACAGAATCTACTAGACACCTTTCTATGCCTCCCTTCTCCCAAGCAGGAACTGTTTTAGCCACCTCACATAAGACCAGTGGTTTTGACAGGTGAAAGATATATTCACTGGTTACTCTCAACCTGATAAACTTGTGGGTCAGTTCTAAACCCAAGGGGGAGAAGGATAATGAAAACTCTTCGCTTCATATGAAAACTCATCCTTTTTCCCCTTGTCCTCCTTTCACCTTCCCCTTTCTACAAGTTCACTCCAACATGACTGAATGTGAAATATTTCTTCTCTCCTGTGAAAAGGGGACTGATGATAGAGAAAAAAAGAGTATCATGAGAACACAGCATATTTCAAGGAAACAGATGTCTGATCCCACTGGCACATCCTCCTACCAGTTATTATAATTTCCCCTCTTTTTACAGCTTTGTCCTTCCAACACATCCACTCATATATCTCCTCCAGCTCAGCCATGCCAAGCTCCAGAAAGGCAGCCAACATACCTGCCTTTCCTCTGTCATCCACAGGCCAAGAAAACTGCTCCCCTCCCACTCAAGAGTGGGAGAAATTGCCCAAGAAAAGAGCAAAGTAGCCTAACAAGTAAGTGAAATGACAAATGCCCTACAACATGTAAATCACATGGGGCCACTGAAAGGGGGATGCACAAAAGCACTAACACCAGTAGCAATCACAAGAAGCTCCAGTGCCAGAAACCCCATTGTCTCATCAGCAATCAAACACCCTATGTGTATATTTGTCATGAGTAGGACCTGACCCTGAGAGGCACCTATATGCACTGTGAGAATGAAGACATTAGGCCCACTGTAGGAGAGGATCTGGTTCCAGACCATCTTAAGAACCTGAACATGCACAAGTCCATGGGACCTGATTAAATCCATCCGCTGGTCCTGAAGGAGCTGGCGAATGACGTTGCTAAGCCACTGGCCATCATATTTGAAAAATCATGGCAGTCAGGTAACGTTCCTGATGAGTGGAAAAAGGGAAATATAACCCCCACTTTCAAGAAGGGGAAAATGGATGACCTGGGGAATTACAGACCAGTCTCACCTCTGTGCCTGGCAAAATCTTGGAGCAGATTCTCCTGGAAGGCATGCTAAGGCACATGAAAAACAACCAGGTGCATGGTGACAGCCAGCATGGCTTCACTAAGGGGAAATCCTGCCTGACCAATTTGGTGGCCTTCTGTGATGGGGCTACAGAACTGATGGACATGGGTAGAGCAGTTGATGTCATCTACCTGGACTTGTGTAAAGCGTTCGACACTGTCCCACATGACATCCTTGTCTCTAAATTGGAGAGACATCGATTTGATGGGTGGACCACTCGGTGGATAAAGAAGTGGCTGGAAGGCCGCACACAAAGAGTTGTGGTCAATGGCTCAATGTCCAGCTGGAGACCAGTTACGAGTGGTGTCCCTCAGGGATCGGTGTTGGGACCGGTCTTGTTTAACATCTTCGTCACTGACATGGACAGTGGGATTGAGTGCGCCCTCAGCAAGTTTGCCGATGACACCAAGCTGTGTGGTTCGGTTGATACGCTGGAGGGAAGGAATGCCATCCAGAAGGACCTTGACACGCTTGTGAGGTGGGCTGATACCAGCCTCATGAAGTTTAACCATGCCAAGTGCAAGGTCCTACACCTGGGTCGGAGCAATCCCAGGCACAGCTACAGGTTGGCCAAAGAAGAGACTCAGAGCAGCCCTGTGGAGAAGGACTTGGGGGTGCTGGTCAATAAGAAAATGAACATGAGCCGGCTTCAGTGTGAGCTCGCAGCCCAGAAAGCAACCGTATCCTGGGCTGCATCAAAAGGAGTGTGACCAGCAGGTCGAAGGAGGTGATCCTGCCCCTCTGCTCTGCTCTCGTGAGACCTCACTTGGAGTATTGTGTGCAGTTCTGGTGTCCTCAACATGAAAAGGACATGGAACTGTTGGAACAAGTCCGGAGAAGGGAAATGAGGATGATCAGGGGACTGGAGCACCTCCCATATGAAGACAGGCTGAGAAAGTTGGGGCTGTTCAGCCTGGAGAAGAGAAGGCTGCGTGGAGACCTCATAGCAGCCTGCCAGTATCTGAAGGGGGCCTATAACGATGCTGGGGAGGGACTCTTCATTAGGGACTGTAGTGATAGGACAAGGGGTAGTGGGTTAAAACTTAAACAGGGGAAGTTTAGATTGGATATAAGGAAGAAGCTCTTTCCTGTTAGGGTGGTGAGGCACTGAAATGGGTTGCCCAGGGGGGTTGTGAATGCTCCATCCCTGGTGGTGTTTAAGGCCAGGCTGGATAGAGCCTCGGATGACATAGTTTAGTGTGAGGTATCCCTGCCCATGGCAGGGGCGTTGGAACTGGACGATCTTAAGGTCCTTTCCAACCCTAACTATTCTGTGATTCTATGCAATACCCACTGCTGCACAGAGACAGGGCCCCAAAAGCAGGGACAGAGCACTCATTTTCTTATCAAAACTCAGTCCTTTTGGCCAACACAGACTAGCTTAGCAGAAGAACTCTCAAGAAGATAATAAAAAGGGGAGGCAGTCATCATACAGCCATAAAAGGCTTTATCCTACAAGTGAAACTGTTCATAGAATACAGATTAGCTCTACAGCACTTGCTTACATCAATATGTTGCCACCACCCCAGTGTGCAGCTCCAGCTAAGAACAGGATTTGATCTCGAATGTTTAGAAACAGCCAAATAGGAAAAGGGAACAGATGACACATGGAAGAGCTGTTTAAGGAAAAAGAATAAAAGAGATGTAGTGCTTGGGAACATAATATGAAAAACTGATTTCATGGGACAAAACCTGCCAGGAAATGCTCAGGGAAGGTCTAATGTTTTGCCCTGGTAGAAGCATTGCAAACAGAAGTTTCCAGAACAAATTGCTGCTTAGAAATGAGGGATGACAGGAAAGCTGCAATCCAGCTGAGAACCTTAAATCAAGTGTTTCACCCAGATACTAAGGGCTGAATTCAGCCTCTCCCACACTACAAAGGAACTGTTCCAAACAGCTTTCAATCGGGTATCTTGGACAGTGTCTGATCACACAATATTAAATTACAGTTAATGTTTGGCCCCACAAATGCAAACTCACCGCATTTTAGCATGTGTAGGTATTTTGTATCTGCAGAAGGCAGCATAGCTCAGAGCTCAGTCATTTGCTACTTCAGTGTTCAAAATACTCAAGCAAAGACAGGAAAACGGTTAAGAGAATTTCTTCCATATAACCAGCTAAATGAAAGCAAACCCAGTCTCCAATGCATTTACTCTTAGTATAAGCAAAAATTCCTCCCCAGAGAGTCACTGTGATCATAGTTTAAAATTCCCCTCTCCCTCCCATGTTCCCATTAGGTTTTGATAAATTTAAACACACTAAAACTAGCAACTACACAGTCACATTAGCTCTAAAGAATTTCTCATGTATTACTAGGAGCTAGGAGATGGGGACCATCATGCAGCAACTGTGACACCATCCAGTATTTAATCCTGCTCCTGGGAATAAGCTAAATTCCTGAGTCACTGGCTAAGTCTCTTCACTGTTTCCAGTATTACAACAGTTCTCAAATGCTGTATTTGCCAGAAACACACATCTCCACACCGACAGTCCATTTACCCGGTTTTCTTTGGGAAGTGTCTCCGGAAGTAGGAAGAAGATGAAAATTAAATCAGCCACAGCAAACATGAGTGCTACCAATGCTGAACGGAGATAGAAGACTTCTCCCTTCTCTGTCTCCATCGCCAGGTAAGCTCCAATCATGGGACCCAGGGTAAAACCAAGGGAGAAAGCAACACCAATCATTGCCTGCAGTGACACAATGAACACAAGACATGTAAGCTTTAGACACCAGTTTGTTCAGGTAGCTCAGTTCTAAAACAGTTTGGATTTCCTGGCATTTGCCTTAAAGAAATGCAACCAGATACAAAACCTCCCTGAGGATGTAGAGAGTGCACAGCAAAGAGCATTAAGTGTGAAAAACCTGTTATTTCTAAAATAACCAATTCTCTTTTCTGTTTGCTTGGGAAAATGGCAGGAACAAACGCCAAACTGAAAGGAAGTTGGGAAGGGAGATAATGATTCTCACCTGAGGAACTGCTCAGCCATAGGATAAACTGTTGTGGTGTAAAACTGGAGGAGGGAAGACAGTGCCATGGTTGGAAACTATAATGATGTCTATAGTTCCTAAAATGCTTCAGCAATTTCTGTATTTAGGAATTTATGTCTCATAGAGCACACAGGCTGAGAGGCTTCCCAGAGCAACCTGAGTTTAGTGAAGGTACTAAGGAGGATTTAACTCACTGTGAAACCAGCACATAGGAAAAGAGGTAGAATCTGTACACAGTGAATGGGAGCTTGAAAGAGCACTGATTTGAGCCAGCAGGTCAGTGAAATTGCTTAAGAATAATAAAACAGTGCAGGATCTGGCCTACTGAGTCACTGTCTTTTAAAAGAATCAAAGATGTATACTTGCATACACAGGACCCAACGATGTGCCATCCCAGGACATAATCCTCCAGCTTTCCTGAGTCTATTTAACTGTATCTGTAGTACTAAGCTAAACAAGGCCAGGGCATGCTCCTGCGTCACCTCAGTCTCCAGTGTTGTCCCATCCTACCCAGCTAGCACTCTGTCAGGCAACTGCCCATCATAGTTTGGGAATAGCATCAATCAGATGCTAGTCTCTTCCCAGAAAGCAGAATGAACATACCTACTCTGCTTTGGAAAATAAGAGTATAAACCATGGATGTGAGCCATGCTGTAGTAAGTGATTTGCTCTCAGGCCCTAAAATTAGGCCCTGACCCATTTTATTTACTAATGCTCTTTGGCTAACCCTCTACACAAATAAAAGTGTATTTTGGCTCACCAGGACTATAATAAATTGTTTGGAAAATTCATTAGTTATCACTGTGAAGCTTTCCCCTCCTAAGAAGCAGCTATCCCACACTGTGGCTTATAACAAGCTGCTAAGAGAAGTTTGGGCCCCCAAGGTTTTTGTAAGATAAAAGATCTAACTGGTAATTCACAGACTAAGTACAGCCTGCAGGGTGTTTCCAGCTGGGCCACTGTCTTCTGGAAGAGGCCAAGGCAGCGGTTCATACTGCTTGCTGCTCAGTCAGCCAAATGCCACAGCCTTTACCTGCTGAGCTCAGATCCTGGAGCCAGTGCAGCATCTGGGGAAGTCAGAGGCATGCTGTGCAGTGCAGCACTGCTGTACTTCCACAGTTTGGTAAGGTGAGAAAAATGGGTTGTCCTGTAACTGAGTTGCAGCTACCAAAACTGGGCCATAAGATCTTTGAATTTCTAAGCTTTTATAATCAGGATTAAAGTTATCAGCAGGAGTACATTTATAATAGACAGATAATTTCTCCACCTCTAGGGCATCTGTGCTTCACTTGTAGATAAAGTTACTGACAGGTCAGGTCTGAGAGCTCACCAGCAGAACAATATGGTGCCTTTTCAGAAGCAAGGTAGCATCTGAAGTAATGTTTTCACTTGATCAATGCATTCATATCTGAGGAAGACATTCTGAGCACCGGAATCAATTAAAAGTGTCCTAATAAATCCAAACATGTACTTCATATGTAACTCACCATGCCCTTGCTTCGTGCTTTTGGAGAGTTCAAGTCAGCAACTATAGCTGTGGAGAGGCTGACATTCCCTTTGCTTATTCCACCTATGATCCTGGAGAGAAGAAAAACGCCAAAAGTCCTAGAGGCAGCCCATAGTGAGTATGATGTTATCAAACCTATCTGCAGAAGCAAGAAAAGGTTCTTTATAAAGCAGAGCAAAGTTGTATTATTTCTGCACATTTCCCAAACATTTTGTTTGTTTTCAACAGGTGCTCCAAAACCCACATAACAGAAATGTCTGAATATACTGATATTGCACTATGTCCTGGACAGTGATATACAAGAAGTAGAAACAAATTTTACATTGATGTTTGATTACTGACAAAATTAGAAGAGCTCAGAGAGAGCTAAATCAGTTCCAGGCACAAACCCACTTTTGTACATCCCACTCCATTTGTTTCCAACATCAAGAGAATTCTGAGTTCAAAGTAAGAAGAATTCACAATTCTAGCCCTTAAATTTCATAATCAATCATACGCCCACGTGCTTATTGAATTCACTCTCCAGGATACACAATAAGGGGAATTGTGTATCATTCACTGCCGAATTCCACCATGTACATATGCACTTGCTTGCAGTGCTTCTGTAATTAGAAATCCATACTCTGTCCAGTAACAGAGAAAATGTTTTGAAGAATGTTCCTAAGAAATAAATCTTACACTGCTATATAGCACTCCCTAACCAATAATCCCCAGGCTCTGTGAAACAGGTCATCAAGTGATCAACCCTCATTACTCACTCAGGGAACTAAAATATACAGGAATTAAGTCTAATATTTATAAACAGAGCATCTGAAATCATACTGCTGTACACAAGCAAAAGTGATTTTGGAAAATCCCAGAAACAGACAGGTATTTTGGTGCCCTCTACGTACAATTCTGGTTCTGGGAAACTCAGCTTAAGCACTTGGATCTGCAAATGTGGCCAAGTGACTTGGCAAAAAGCGGTCAACAACCAAGAGATCTGGAACATTCAGTTTCCCAATCCTTTGTGTTAACCCCAAGATCCTAATGCCTTCAATTGTGTATTGAGACGGCATGACTAAAATCAGCAAGTGACGCATACCACCGTCATCAAGATGACAGGTCTCCTGCCCAAGCAGTCTGACATGGCACCAGTGAGGGGAGAGGAGAAAAACTGTAGGATGGAAAAGACTGAGCCAATCAGACCTAAATCAAATAGAAATACATACATCATTAGATTTGCTGCCTTCATCTTGAATACAAACACAGCCAACCTGTTCTAGACCTATCACACCACTTTAACATCACATTGTTAAATGTAAAACAATGGCTACAAAGAAACTTTGTCTCTGAAATTAAGCTACCTTTAAAACACAGATCTGGTATTGTTATTAACTGAGGTGGCACATACAGACAGCAGATACACAGTCAGTGCAGAGAAACAGGTATGAAGTGGATGATCCACTGGTTACTTCACTGGGGAGAAAGGGTCTGAAACTCACTGGTTATAACGGAATGCTGATTCTTCAATTCTTTTCTGGATGACTATGTACATTTTCTGCTCTTAGAGCAGAAATAACACAGTTTTTAATAGTCACAGTGCTCTTAAGATTTTCTTTTTTGATTGTTTAAACCTGATTCTGTCACATTTAATTAGTTTTTCTTTCCTTCTTATCATGGAAAGGGCATAAGCATTGCTCTTAGTGAGGCACCCTAAGAAGTAGGAGTGATTCCAGACTCCAAGAATCTTTTGAAACCTGCCTCCAGCTTCTGTGATCTTTATTTCCTCTTTTCTCTTGCCATTTCTAGCTTCATACACTTATTAATCTGCACTATACTCTCAACAAGCAGGCATAATAAAAAGCCTTGCTGTCACTGTCTAAAGGAAAATCTGGGTTATATGTCTCAGCTCATTCAGCTATCAAAGCTTTAAAAGGCAGAGGAGAGAGAGACTAGAAGTTCTGCTCACACCCGTTTTGAGGGATGCAGAATATTGATACTGAACACAAGTTTTCTTCTTTGTATTTCTGGCACTGTAAAAACACCCAGATGTGCCCCTCCTTTTAGTGAGCTGAGGCCTCCCCCAAGATAAGAAAAAGGCTTTTAGACAAAAAAATAAAACCCAACCACAAAGCTTTATTAGAATATAAACATGAATGCATTGTTGCTGCTCAGTAGTCTCTTTGGGCATAACAGAAAATTTATAAACAATTAAAATTAACCCAGACATACTATGAAATCCTAGTTTCCTCACAACTGTCTACATAGCAAAGAGCCAAAGAGCCTCTGATGTGTAACACAATGTACATGCTGCTGGATTTCCTGCACTAGTCACACTGGAGCTCACTCACACCAGCATCCTAGTGACTTCAAATGCATCTGGACCCTGCAAGTCAGCAGCTCTGCTGCTTTTAATAGGACTAATGAGATTTAGAAGCAGTGCTGCACTACAGCTGCCCAAGGGGAAGGCGATACTTGAACTCACAAGCTTCTATTTCCAGTGTTACCCACTGACTGAACTCCAATCATGTGTAGATCAATTGTGAAGAGAGTAATTTCTGTGCCTGTGCAGGGACTAGCACAGCAGGCTCCTGACCCTCAGCTGCAGGCCTGTATTTCTGTAGCAGCTGTAGAACAAATTGGCAAGATCATAGGATAATTCAGGTTAAAAGGGACATCTGGAGGTCACCTTTTCCAACTGCTTGCTTGTAGGGTCAGTTGTGAGATCAGACCAGATTGTTCAGGGTTTCATCCAGTCAGAGTTTAACAACTTCTGAGGATGGAGACTTCAAAACCTTTCTGCCCAGTCTGTATCATTTCAAGGGACTACTCTTTCCCACAGGCAGGACTTCACATGTGTCCTCACCGAATTTCATAACATTCCTGTTGTCCCATTCTTCCTGCCTTTAAGTGTCTCCAAATGAAAGAGATGGGGCTGTCGAACTCTTTGTTGCTATCAGTGTGATGAAAACAAAAATCATTTATAGCCCACTGTAAGAGACAAAATCTGTATCTAGTTAACAGGCAAGTATGTTTTTTGTATTCCTAGGCATTTTCCTCATTCCTCGTAACACGTTATTTTTCCCTTTGGTTTTATTTTTGGTCTGTTAGCTTGTTTTATCTCCATACCTCCAAATAAGACACTGTTGTATTTCCGCTCTGGAGGTATCCCAGCCATCGCTGCAAACCAGTCCACACCACGTTGCAATGACAAGTAGAATCCATCCTGCAAAACAGATAACTGGGAAATAGAAGCAAGAAGACAGCTTCTGTGTTTTATTTTCAAAGAAAGCATCAGAGCTTAGTGAACTAAAGGAAGTGTTAGATGATTCCTTCCCTCTTCCTCCTCCCAGGGAAAATTTCTTCACTGATCAGTTGTCATACACTAAAAATAGCTTGAATTGTGAATGCTAAGAGGCAGCAGTTAATCTCGGTGGGGAAATGTCTGAATTTGAACTTTTTAAAGCATACTTGCTAAATCCTCAACTAAACAAAGTGGTATGTCCTGAATCTTTCAATCAAAAAGGCAACATGAGACATACCGTATCTCTCTGTATACATAGACTGTTTAGCCTGTGAAAACCAGGGGCATGTAGGTCCAGAAAGGTGTGAAAAAGAATGGTTCCTGAAAAGAGGAGGAGGACTTGAAAAGAAGGGGACCCTGAGAAGGTCTTTGCTATAGGAAGTGCACTGGAAGTGGAAGAAAATCCTGAAGATCAGAGCCCACGGTTAGGATTAGAGACAGGGTTGTAAAAAAGACAAAGCCTACAGCTGCATTTGGAGTGGGGTTAGAAAGCCGCTACAAGATGGAGGTGTGGGCTGCAAAAATAATTCTCCCATGACAACGTTTTGTCCAGTAACACCTGAGAATGGCAACTGAATGCATCTGCACAGCCAGTAACCAACACTACTCTCTGCCCCGTGTTCCCAGAGCAGCAGCCAGCTCCCTGCTAAGAATGGAAGTTGAAACATAGTGAACATGATGCTGAGGTGGAAGCAAGTGAGTGTGTGAAATACTCAAGTAGGGTTAAAGCTCTCACCTCTTTGGTTCTTAGATAAACCCCAGTATGAATCACAGAATAGTTAAGAGTTGGAAAGGACCTTAACATCATCTAGTTCCAAGCCCCCTGCCATGGGCAGGGACACCTCACACTAAACCATCCATTACAGATTGTCATTTACTCTGTCTCAGCAGTAACATTAGCGGAAGTCACAAATGTACTAGTAATGACAAGGACTAGCTCCTAAGAAATACCTGAATATTCCCCCAAATAGCTCCCTCATTTTAATGAAAGAAGGAAGAGTCTCATTCAGGGTCACAAATGCAGTCCATGAAACCATTTAAGAGTACTGGATATTATTATTCTGCCTACAGCTAAGGCAGAAAACTAATGCCTAAAGCTAACCACTTTGCTCCAAGGTAAGTGATTTTTCTCCCATCCTTCTCTAAATATCTCACAGCTAACATTTTCAGCAGTCTGACTTTCTTTCTCTGTTGCTTACCTCAGTCTGGCTGTAATAATCAAGGATGGAAGGAAACAGTGGCAAGATGAGAGCAAATCCCAACAAGTCAATGAAGAGTGCCAGGAACACAATTGCAATAACACGACTAGAGTTATGTTCTTGCTTGTCACTGATGGAACTGTTGCTGGTTCCTCTCTCTCGTGGGGCCATGTTCCCAGGTGCTCTGCTTCTAAAAAATTCCATTTACAACCAGTCAGTAGGAACCTTTTGCAGCCCTTTCTTAAGAGTATCTTGCTAATTCATTCTCACTTACTACAGAATTCACAAAAATAAATATAAGCGATGGCTATATTAAGCTACCTGCTTTTCAAGGGAACAGGAACCTCATCTCTCTAGTCTTGGTTATTAGCTCAGCACCAAATTTGCTCGCCTCAAGAACAGACTATGAGGGCAATAAGATAAACTCTGTTACAGGTGCACCCCAAGTAAAACACAGAATTAAGGATCATTTAGAGGTGGTTGACACGTGAGCAATGCTAGTACAACTTTCCTAAATGCTCTCAACTCAGCATTACACTAAAAGAAATAAGAAAGGGCACTCTTGTTTTCAGTATCTGCATTCCAGCAACTCATGGGGTTTTTTTATGCCTTCAGTGTATACTAGAAATGACTTAAGCAATAACAATTAAAAAAATTGGGGCATCAAATGATTAAAGCAACATTTTTAATTTGTCAGAAATATCAGAACCCCCAGCTTTTTTTTTTTAATACTCCAAAACTGTCTTAAAAGTCTTAAACAAGGATTTAGGCCATATCACATTCAGTATTTATCAAAGAAACCAGCCCATATCCTGAAAAAAAATCTCAGTTTCAACAAGTATCAAAATCAAGGAGTAATACACAAACTATGAAACTACAAAGTTCAGAACTCTAAAACATTACAGAGTCTCAGCCATAAAACAATCAAATTTGCAGTCCTTTTTACTGCAAAAAAAAAAACAAAACCCTGAACATCAGCGGCACTATAAGGGTAAAAAATGAGACAGAATTTCCTCTAACAAAGTCAGCCAATGACAAAATATCCATTGACTTTGATGACTCAGGATTGAAACCACTGAGCAATTCTTGACATAAATTATACACAGGGCACTTATGCATTTAACATCATATTACACTAATTGAAGATCACATTACTTTGTTATGCTCAGCAATAAATATTATTGTGATATTTCTTTACTGTCGATTCTGTTTACTAGCACTGAAGCCTTATTAAAGTTCAAACATCATGAGGTAAACATGGAAGGGGACACACCTGCAACCCATTTATTAAACTCCTGCCATAATGCTCTTAAATCTGCTAGTGAACAGAGCAGCTTGGTTATGTGCAGGATTCTTTTATATGAAATGGCAAGTCATCATGGCTATAAATATTCAGCATTATTTGTTTACTCAACAGATATAAGAGCATCTGGAGCCAAAACCAACCATTCTTTTCGTCAAATTCTCCTTAGGTCTAAGCGTTGAGGGATGGGTTCATCATTGCAGATTGTATCTCACTTTTCCTCACAAATTGTTTATTCATCCACTGAATTATATGACCAAACTGAACTTTATTCCAGGGCTATTTACGCAGGGTAACATCCTTTACACCTTACCCTCATGGCCATTTCAGCTAGTGTGCGGCCTGAACCTACTGATGCTAGACTGACCTTTCATTTAGCTCCACTTTTGGCTATGTGGTTGCAATTTCCCTTACGCAATATCCCAAGGTACTACATGTTTCTGCCTTTGTGCTCCATCAGTTTTGTTGTTCAAACCTCTCCATATTGTATGCTAGGCAGGAAACCACCAAACATTTTATAGGCCCTGGCACCCTGTCAGCAAAAACAAAACACTTCAGCTCTACCATGACATTTGATTTCTGTGAGACATGTTTGAAGAGGGGGGAGGATTTTCAGTTTAGGGACGCTGTTTGTCTGGACACTTGTGTCCCTGATTCTCACTTGGCTCTACCCTGGTTCTTCCCAGCCATCCCCTTCAGGATGTGTCTCATTGTTTCTGCCTTTGACCAGCTGGGTTTGATGCTGTATCTCTCGGGAAGGGCTCAGCAGCAAAGCTGGCCCTGCCCTAATTCACAGACACAGCTGTCATCTCCCAGCAAGAAGAGTTCCATTCTCCTGGTGCTTTCTTACCACCCTGTCCCCCACTGCCAGTTTCCTAGGCCTGGCTTTACCTGCTAAACCTTGAGAAGGCTCTGCCGGCTCCTTACCAAAGTCCTGATTCGGGTCAAGAGCACGAGTTTCAATTGGGAAGAAAAAAGCATAAAGACGATAAAATAAAAGGCAATTTCCCAGAGCAGCCAAAGCCCGAGGGCAGAGGGGCCGTCGAGAGGGAAAGAGTCGGACCTGGAGAGCAGCGGAGACCGCGACGAGGACCCGCCGTGCCCCACTCAAGGCACCCTTCGCCGCCGCCCGCCAGAGCCCTAGGGTCCCCGTAGCCCTGCCGAGAAGAGCGGTGCCCGGCCCAGCCCCGGGTCCCGGCCCGCTCGCCCCCCTCTCCCGGCCGCAGGCCACCTACCGCTCCTCCGGGGGCCGGGCCCGCAACAGTGGGCGGGCGGGTCCCCGCCGCCTGCCAAGAAGCTGTCCCTTGGGGATGCTGCGGCCGGGCGGGGGCGGCTCCTCCCCAGCGCACCGGGGGCCTTCCTCTTCCGGCTGGGATGGTGCCGGTCCCGCCGCTCCGCGCAGCCGAGGAGGGAGCTTCTGTGGCCGCCGCCGTCCCCTCATAGGACGGACTCCCCTCAGCAAGGCGGGAAGCCGCCGCTGCTCGGGGCTGAGGGGACATAAAAGCCAGACTGAGCGACCTGCCTTGTCACCAGGGCCCCGCTCCTCATAGCTCAGTAGTTTAACTGGGTATCCTGTACCTCAGACCAGCGTTCCTTCTAGCCGTAAAGGCTGTTTTAGTGAAAAATCTGGTTTAGTGAAAAATCCGTTCCCAGAGGAGAGGTATCTTCTTTTCTTAGCTGCTACATAGCCACGTTCCGGTGTAGGCTTGATAAATCGGTATTTCCTGGAACCTGACAGCGAAAGGTAGTTGCAAAAGATGCAATAAAACTGCTCCCTTAAAACAGCAATTATTTTAGCACAGAGAACATGGAAAGACTTGCTATTGATAGCACTGTCCAGCATGGTTCATTTGTCTGACCATGTTGTGTCCAAGCTGCCTCATTAAAACATGGTATATGGTTACAAGTAGGCTAAGCATGTGTATCTTCGTAGTCTTAAATGCACAAGGATCTGCCAACAGTGTTCAAAACAAAGTAATACGGGTGTTGAGAGCACTTCTGGTTCCTTTCTAAGTAATGCCATGCCATCGGTGCCATGGATTTATAGTTACTAGCTCTCAGATGAGGACTCACCACTCACCAGTGACATTTCTGTCAGACATTCCAAAGGAGCTTATCTAACGTAACATCAGGATTAACATGCCAGTCAGATCAAACAGTGAGCTGCTACTCTTACATTACCTGAGCATTTTATGTCCTCAGTTTGGTCTGAGAAAAGGCATTTGGTAGGTATGGCACATACTCTGAAAACCAAACCATTGCACAAGGATCGCTGCTGACTCAGAAGCAAACTTCTGCTTTGAGGGGCTGCATTTAATGTCTGGAACATACAGGTATATTCTTGTGGCTCTGAATTACTGTGTGTAACTGACCAGGCACCATCTGAATCCAGATACCTTTACAAAAAATAAAAAATAAATCATCAAATCCAGCTCTTCCTGTTGTTAAACCCACCACCCTAAGGCTTTTGCAGATCCCCGAGCTGAGCTGTTAGTACAGTCAAGCATAACAGTCCTGCGTGTAAACACACTGCACTGCTTCTAAAACTAGATAGATAGGTCACTGCCTACCCCATCCCTGTGGAAGACCAGTCCAAAACCTTGCAGGTTTTATGAACAGTATAGTAACAGAAATGTTTGGTTTAGACTACATTTATTAATACTGATTTTTTTATATGTCAGTCTTGTGTTTTTATTCAAGTAACCCACTATAAATAACCAGTCATTTTAACTATGCAAGATGGCATAACCAATACCTTTAGGACTGAGAATGTACCCATTTAGCTTAGGTGACAAACTCAGAGACCAAAAGCAGCACATTTCGGGGAAGGTTTGGCCCCTTCAATATGTAACAGCTCACAGTCCCAAAGTTATGATAAAGCTGCCAAATGTTTTATGTCTCAGTTTTTGTTTTTCTTTTCCAAATGCCCACAAGGCATGTTAGGAAGAAAGCAGCCCTGCCAGGTCCTATGGCTGAACAAGCTGCGTATCAGAAACACCAGCCTCTGCCCAGCAGAGCTCTGTTTCTGCTTCACACCAAACCCCACCTGCACCCCGAAGCAGCCTCAGGACCTCCGTGTAGCAGAAACTGATGGCAAAAAGAGATGGCTTACACAGAATATGGTTACACCACAGTAGGTGATTAACTTCTGCAAGGCATGACTGAGAATATCACACTTCACACCAGCTTTCAGCTGACAACCAGAAAACCAAACAACCAAGAGAGCTTTTCATGCTGTCATAAATAAAGTAATTTATGCAATTTTTAGGTGAACAGTTTTATTGTTACCCTATTCTTTACAGTATTTATATTCAGGATAGCTATTCTCTGGGACAGTTGAAGTTGACAGGTAATTACCTGAACTAAATGCAAAACAGTAATTTCCCTTTTCTTGTGTCTGATGGCTTGATTTAGTTACAGAATAGTTTCTTTTTCACTAAGTAACAACAGATTTATAATTGCTAACAGCTGTGTCAAAAGGCCTGTTACAACAATTTCTGGTTTAAGAGCAACAGAGACAAGAGAATAATAATGAATATGATTGTGTTTATGAAACTCTATGAGAAAGTGTTTGCTGACTCTAAGCTTGGCAAAACCCTTTGTAGTCCAAATGTTCAGACCTTCCTACCACAACATGAGAGCACCACCACTGCCTAGCTACTATGGTAGTTAGGCAATAGCAAAACTAGGTAGACCATAGTGATTATTAAGCTGAGGCAAAACTAGGTAGTCCTGCTTTCCCAGTCATGTTAAATACTCTATATTATGCATCGCCATTAGTACCAGGCTTATAATATTAGGTCCGATTTTAAGTATTGACAATACAATTTATAGAAGTGCATGCAGCAAATTTCATTCAATTTATACAAGGGCATGCAGCAACTTTCATTCCACATGATTTGAAACATGATTTTCAGTCTGGCATCCCTAAACAGGTATGTTAAGTTTCCCTGTCCTTTGTTCATCAGCATTGCAAAATATTCCTGTTCATCCTCTTGTCCCTCAAACACTATCATCCCATTTTACTTGTGTCTCTCCCTTATATTTTTCTTACCTCCCTTACTGAGGAGTAACAAGCAGCTGCAAGTGGTATAAAAAATCACTGCCCCAAGATCAAAGTGTAGCTGTCAGCCTCTCTGTGATTTTAATACCCTGCTGGGTAAATCCTCTGAAGCTACTTGCTATTGGAAAAATAAAGTCAGATAAATAAACAATACTTTTTTTTTTTGACAGTTTATTTGTGCAAAGGAGAAATATACTGGGGCTAAAACCCTGAACTGAAAGTGCTGATTTACAGCATGAAATAGGAAGTTGCTCCTTCCTCATTATTGCAGTCTTAAGTTCTTGGTTTGAATGTATAAAAAGTTTTGTTTGGGTTTGGGTTTGTTGGGTTTTTATTTTTTTTTTTTTTTAAGTAAAAAGTCCACACTGTGTCAAATGGAAATAAACCAGGAGGTATAACTAACCTTCTGAGATACCTTTCAAGTTTCAGATTTTGGAATTCCAGTTACTGATTTTGCAAAGGTTAACTTAAAATAGATTTCAGAAGTGTGAATGGTTTTACTTCAATCTTACTAACTTTTATGTGACATGAGTATTTCCCCCATGTGCACTTAGTATCCAGCCTATTTTACACTCAATACAACTGGTTTTGCAAGCAAAAAAAGGCTGATGATAGTCACACATTACTTTCACTGCTACTAGCACACTAGGATTCAATAAAACCCTTTCAAATAAAGTGCGTTTCTCTTAAGAACATACATACAAACCTTTAACAAGATTTAACTTTCAAAGACAGTTTTGTCATTAGTTTCAATGTAAAGCCTTAAATGTTTCAATTTATCCCCTCCTAGTTTCTGTCCTGCTTCCATTCCATTCAAGTCTCATTTGAAAACAAACAGAACAAAGACAACATCTTAAGCCAGTCTGAAACAACAGGCCTAACAGTTGAATTAGATTTACTGACAGGATTTCACTGTCCACTTCAGATGGCTATGAATACACCGAGGAATCGCAGTTAATCACCATATTATTAATAATTATAGATTATTAATTCTTAATTATATATTAAGAATTCCAGAGCTGTGCTCAATTCAGAACTTACTGAAGAGATGAATGGACCTACAGCTTTAACAAAGGACTTCTGCTTGAAAGCCAGTTCCATTACTCCACTGAATACATGAATTAGAATGTCCTAATGCCACAGACTAATTAAAACGTAACTGCTTAAACTGCAAATATACCACTGTGAGAGCTGCCTGTAGTTGTTCAGTATTAAAAAGGATAACAAAAGGTTTCTGCTGTACAAGTTTGTGTGTGTAATTCAAGTTAGACTAAAACCTGGTCTCACACACCTCAATTTTTATTATTCATCAAAATATTCCCTATTATTAAAATAAACAAAAGTATACGACATACAAAAGTGATATTTTATTTTTCTTATGAAAACCTGTAGATTTTTCCAACACGCAGGTTCACTTTTTTAAAACAGATCTGATGATGTTGTCTTCTCAAAAGGAATGCATCCAAAGAATGCAATTAAAATCTGTTCAAAAGCCACAGGATTGGGCTATTTCATATGGCAGTAAAACCAGTTTCCTGCTGTAGTCCCAATTAATTCTTCCCTTTTTTCCTTTTCAGTGCTTTCCATTCACCTTCCTGTGTAGAAAGGCTACCAAGAAGTTCTTTCACTTTTCTTTTTCTGGCTGCATCTCTGCAAAACAAACAATCAAC